GACCGTTATCTTGTAATATTGCTTGCAAAATCTTCAATATAACCTTTTTGAAATCAGGTTTGGTATCTGTCATTTCTATCACTGTCTTAACATTGGTTTTTGTCTCTTGTTGAACTAAAAGGACCTGCAGAACGAAGGGCTGTGTTTGCGGCCTCTCTGCAGCTTCTGGGGCGGGGGAATTCTGACAAATTACTGCACCGTGTTTATCCAAACCTTCATTTGTTTAGCAGTGCAAAAGCTTGATTGTAAATCTAGCTGTAGATTAGAATCTAAAGTGAATAAAATGACAGTCTAGGATCTTGTCTTTATTTCAGACAGAAGACATGTTTAATGTCGATGATAGAGGCAGCATAAACAAAGACGTTACAGAATGTAAGTGACATACAACGGAGGAATGGAGACTTATTAGCATATTAGCATATTAGCATTTACCGCGGTGCCAGTAGCTTCAACCTTGATATTACCAAAACTTGTAGTGGAAAAATTCTGCCGTGTGCATATTGTTAGAATGATGAGTTAGAACGTTCACCACAGTAGCTTCAAAGTGTCATGAAATATCCAAAAAAGCAAAAAAATACTCGGAAGTGTCGCATTTTCTTCATATATCAGCAGCAACTCTTGCTGGCCTGACCACCACTTCGTCAACCGGAAGTTTATGCGTCACGTGACTGCAAGCAAGCAATAAATTGCACCTGTTTTGCTTTAATAAAGTGATTGATTCCTCAACTGGAACGCTGGCTGCTCGCGTCTCTTTATGGATATTGTAACAGATTGCACTAAATGCAGTGGTTTGTTCCTCACTGTGGGACGAATAAAGGATCTCTTAATCTTTTAAAAAGTAACGTTTCTCATTACTTGTTACTTATTTAAAAAGTAACCTGTTACTTTTCTTAATTACTTTCTAAAGAAAGTTACTTATTTACTTTGCTATTGTGTTACGTGTTACTGTTATTTTGCTCGAATTTCAAAACAGATATTTCTTTCATATTCTTTAGTATAAAAAATGCTACAGAGCAACTACACATTGGGCTATTGTAATTTTATGAACACAACTCTACTCTCTGGAGAACCGGTTTAGGATCTAACGCTGGGCCTGATCTCATTTACTCAAGTACCTCAGTGTCTTCGCGGATGTTGCGTCTTCCTCCGTTATTATTATAGATCCATGCTTCCTCCTCATCAAAAATAAAAATAAAAGTCAGCCTCACTGGCGCTGCTGTGTCACACTTTACCCTCGGAGTGTCAGGTAAAGTGCGACACTCCGTGATGAACAGCCACCGCCAGCGGCCTCTTGCTTCACAAACAGCACCATAGAATCATGAGAACTGCGTGCGAGTCTGACTGATCCTCAAGCACCAAAAAAAAGTTTAAAAAAAGTAATGTTACAGCGGCTCTAAAAAGAAACTGAGTTACCTTACTATATTGTCGTTAGTTAATGCATACTTTTCCCCGGAAAAAGTAACGCAACAATGACTATAATGCACGGATAGTCAAGTACTTCAGAGGGTCAAAAAATTGGACTGGTTCAGTTTTTATTAAAACATATGAAAAATATTGCACAGCAGAACTAAGACCTAACACAGTGTACTGTATGTTATTTAATGATAACATGAATAATCCAACATTCTTGTTTGGCTCTGTTAGTAATTTCAAGTGAAAACATTTTTCAACAGGCTCACAGACAAAAACAAACTTCCTTCAAAGAGAAAACATGACTAATCCACTATTTTCTCATGGCTCTGTGCGGGCCGGTTCTAATACTAATCAAATATCATCCAGAGGGCCAAGATAATTAATTTGTGGGCCGGATCTGGCCCTCGGGCCTTGACTTTGACACCCATGCTATACTGCAACCTGCTGAGTTAGGAAATCAACACTGTAACATGTTGATTGATTATTCCATGGAAGTAGAAACCAAATAAGAACATTCTCCATGTGCATAACTATGTTGTTGTATTATTGCCAAATGATACCACATGAAAACAGGCCATGTGTGTAGTGTCAGTGTTGTGGAAATTGACCGAATGAATCCAGAAAGACAACACATGTGACACCCCAAGTTACCTGTTGCTGGTTTGGCTGTTGCCAGTTTGATCTATATCAATAATAAAGGTATAAGATAATTGGATCAGACCTGAGCTTGCACTGTACAGGATAAAGTCAGAGGGTGTAATTAGTCGGTGCTCTTGTTTTGTCAATCTCACGCTATCTATACTCCTCTAAGTCTTACAGGGATCACTTTGGGTATAATCCCATGTTCCACAGGAATAGATATCTGACAGTGCTGTGCTAATCTGTGGGATGCAAAGTCATGCCTGCAAACTGCACAGTCATGTCTTCTTTCACCTTTCACATGTGCACAACTTTTTTGTTTGCTTATTAATATATATATATATTTTAAGTGTTTTTCATTATACATATTGTAAATGTTGTAGAAATCAGACCACAACATGCTGTCTTCATCTTGTTAAGGAGCTTTTTATTTTTACATATTTGTAAGAAAGAGTGAGTTAGGGCTGGGGAATATATTAATATAATGATAATCCCTGCATCATTTTGAGTGATGGTATGAAACTGAAATATCATTTGTGTAGTTGCACACAGGTGATATTACCAAGGGTCTGAGCGTGTGGAGAAACAGTGCGATCACAGCTGTGGCAGAGGAACTCAGCAACAAGCAGTCCGTCTGGCTGATTGTCTGAGCGATGGTGGTCCTCTCTTAATTTTACAGTTTTCTGTCTGAAAAAGTTAATCTAAAGATGACAGAAGCAAAAACAAGATACATGCATGTGAAAATTAGGGATAAAAGATTACTGTTTTAGAAGCAAGGATCTTGTTTCATGGATTTTATTTTATACAATACGTAAATTTGTTGTGTTTTGAAAGTTAAGTAGATTATAATAGAATATTCTTTTGAAATGAATATATGTATAATTTACTGGTTATTGAAGCTATAAGTTATAAAGTAATCGTTGCTAACTGTCTGGTAGATAACTTTGGTACTATGAGTATTGTCTTTGCGCCTGGTGCTGACCTCCCCCACTTCCTCTTGTGTCTTTAGGTGCGTCTCTTTGAGGTTAACGTCTACGATTCAGTGTAATGTTGAATTGTGAACTGTTTTTGGTTTCACACTTTGCACACTTGCTGCAGGATGAGGAACTGTTTTGCACCCACGCACACACACACACACACACACACACACACACAGAGATACACAAACACACACACGCTCACACACGGATGCACAAACACGCACACACACACACACACACACACACACACACACACGCACACACCTCTCTGAGTCAGGAAGCTCTTCTCAGAAGCATCAACCACACACCAGTTTATTCAGTGTCATTCAACTGCGTCTCTGAACTAGCTGTGCAAAAAATGAGTTTTCTCTTTACTGCAGCAAGTTTCCTGCTCTTAAATGGTCATGTCACTGTATTGTATTATTGTAGCATGCCAAAAGTCAAATTGTAAAAAAATATATATATATATATGAAAAAGTAATCATTATAACAAATATGTTACATTTTTCATCTGCTGTGTTTAAGTTTTGCTGTTTTCATTTTCATTTTGTGGCTTTTCAACATATTTAACTGTAAATTACGGAAACACAACACTGTATATAGGTTAAAAACAACATACTATTACTACAAATGATATGTTATACAGTTTAGAAAATTATGTTTTTTTATGTCAATCCAAAACTTTAAAGAATTATGTATACACTCTGCCACACACTCACACTGATTGTCGAATACACTGAGCTTCTGTTTTCTCTTGTGAACCAGTACAGTTTGAGGACTACTAATAGTTATAGAAAGTTTAAACAAATACTAAAGGATTATCTATTTGCTAAAATCGAAAACATTTTAATTCACATAAGTGGGGCCTGTTGACTTCTACTCCAGCACTTTCATAGCGCTCCACATATCGTCAAATATTTATCAGTAACAGTCAAATCTGTCCACTTTGACATTTGAGGTCTCATTGTGGGAGTTTCTATCGCGCTTAATTTTGCATGTGCACTTTTTCTACGTTTCCTGTCTGAGGCTGAGTGATATAAGACCACGCTCAGTTCTGGCTTTTCCTCTTTCAGCCTTGGTTCAAACAGGTAAGATCTACACACATGTTGAATTTGTATATCATAATTGTGGGGTTTAGAACATAATGCTTGACTCATGGATGAATAATTGAATATTAAGGATTTGAGAGATTGTTTTTTGTTCAAATGTGGATCGGCCGGTGCAGCAGCGACAGACGTACAGTGTTGTCACCCATAAAGTAGAAAGCACTACTAAACTCCTCTGCACTGTGTAGTGTTTCCTACTTTATGGATGAGTGGACTGTTGGCAGCAGGACGCACAGAAGAACCCGGAAACGTTGTATTCATGTTATAACTGTTCAAAAGCAAGTGGTTTTACGTTATACTTTTATTGTGGAACATGAATGGTATTTTTGAAACAAGAGAGAAGAAGAATAAAATCATTTACATTTGTTCTCTGTTCATTTCAGCAGTGTAAAAAAGCACATTTAGATTATGTTCCTGAATGGAATTACACAATTAAACATGATTAATTATACTGTCTCCATGTGTTTCATGTTTTCTTTACTGCAATCTTTGGTAAGGTGATATTACAGTAACATGTTTTTTCACAGTTTTGTATAAAAACGGTCCAAAAAGGAGATAAGGCAAAAACAGAAAAGATAAAACCCTCGAAGACTAATGTGTAGAGTTCATGTTTAAGGCTAATGATCATGAGCCAGATGAACAAAGTATTTCTACAATACAGCTTTCTGTCTATTTTTATAATGTAGTCATGTTTTTGTCAAAATAATTAAATTACTGTAATTCAAGTGAATACAATAACTTAAATAGCTGCTTTGAGTATGGCATTATTCCATCTATTTCGTAAAAAATTATAATACAAAAAAATTATAATACTGGCATTACAAAATTTGCCTAAACATCACTTCACTAACAGTGAGGACCTCTAGTCCCATGGCAGCGGCTGCAAATAGTTGGATGGGACCAAACCTCGTCTTCCATGCAGATCACCCTGAAATGTTTTTATTTACATTTAGTCTTTTTTACATATTATTTTACATTACATTTTATATAAGAATTAGAAATTAAACAAACACTTACAAAGTAAAAGCCATCCTGATCCATTTCACCCAACACATAAATGATGTCCCCAGATCGAAAGCCGAGTTCTTCCTGAAAGAAAATTAGTAATTTAGGGACAAGGTTTTTTTTTAGGACAAATGTAAAATCAAGGGGATATTATAGACTCACTTCACTGTCAATATTTGGAGAACTTTCCCATGGATCATAATCAAATATGGCCACCATCCGTCGCACCACCAAGTCCTCAGGCAGGCTCAGGACACTGCTGCACGGTTCAGGCGTCAGCGTCATACCTGTCAAATAATAGTTCAAGCACATGATAAATAACACATAGACATAAAGAAAATAAGAAATGATTATCTGACCAAACTTTCTCACACTGTCCTCGTACTATTATACCCTGAATCTGAATGAAACCTTTATTATATTATAGAGTTAAGTTATTTCTGAGATTTTTCAAGTTCTAACCGAGTCACTTCCTAACACAGGGCATCTCAAATTGTTCCTTTCACAATGGGTTTCTCTTGTTGTGTGCATTCCTTCTGTTACCTGCATGGTCCACCGGGATGAACCCCTGCTGCAGCAGTAGGTGCTTCAGGTACTCATCATCCAGCGGTACTTCAGCCACCATGTTACTGGGCACAAACCCCGAGAGGCCACCGGACTCACCGTGATAGAACCCATCAGAGTCTTTATCACCAAAAACCTACAAGTCATGAAAACTACATCAGTAGAGTGTAATGTCCATCGACCAAAGACTGACGTCTTGTACCAACAACAGCCAAACTAATCATTTCCACCTGTACTTCCCAGACACAATTGTTTTTTGTACAGTTACATGAGTTTGTGTATGTTTACAATTATATACCATTAAAATAATAAGGCTTTAAAGAGGCACGTACCTTGATGATCTGGCCTGGGACGAACGGCAGCTCCTCTGCAGCAGCTTCATAGTTGGGAGACATAGCCGCAGGGTTGTATGGGTACAGAGCCACAAACAGGCGGACAGTTGGGATTGAGACCTGGCTGGCGGTCTCGAGCTCCCATTCTCGGAGGTCCTCCGGTGTTGCGACTCTCACCTCATCAGGATAAATCAACACATCCAGCTCCATAGGCACCAGTGAGAGCCCACGTCTGCACTCAAGACAGATGGCTGAAGTAGACAGCACAGCTCTTTAGCTTTATCCTCATTTGAGGTAACGAAGCTAAGCAGCTGATACAGTAATCCTCTTTGAAGGTAGTGAATAGATCTGGAACAAAGTTCCACTTCAAAAGAATGTTAAAGCTATATCAACATAATCAGGAAATTGATGAATGTGACTCATTACAACCAAGTACAACTGCTGAAAGGCTGGGTCAAGATCAGCCCTGAAAAAGACAGGTGCATGAAACCCTGTTTTGTATACTGTTAAAAACAGTAAATAGGTAAATAATTAATATTGTTGAAACATACTGTATGTAAAAATATTCCATACATTTCTGAAGTAGAGATACTGAAAGAATTAATACTGAATAAATACTGAATATGATGCATGATTACGTCAAACGACCTTGTTTACATGCGCTCATCCACAGCACAACACTTTAATTCCATTAATCACAGCATAATGTCATTTACTTTGACAAGAATGAAAGGTTTAGACATCTGTCAGCTCTTTCACTGACTCCTCTGATGACTTGACCTACTTCACAGCACACTACACACAACTCTGCCTGACCTCTGACCTGGTCACCAGAGGATCATCTCTGACATCAGAGGGAGGAGATGTCATTCACAACACTTTTACCTACAGTGTGGCATATGCGGCTGTACTCTCAGTACAAACATACCATTTACAATGCAACCGTGATGTCCATGTCATGATATGAACCAATAATATGACAATGAGGCAGTGTATAGGGACCTAACAAACCTCATTCATTCATTCATGGAGGTAGGCCTGTTGGTTTCAAAGAAGAAATTCACTTTTGGCCCCATGACTGACAGTAACAAAGGTTCTTGATGTTGACTTGTAATAAGAAACCTCTACTTTACTTTTGTTTATTTACATCAGTATCAAACATTAGCATTGAGTCCCATAAGTAGTTCAGACCTTTAACCAAAACAAATGTTTATGAGAACAAACTTGTCGTCAATTTTAACATATCGTACTTTTGGTCAAAAAAGTCAATTTAAATCATTTTAATTTTCAGGAATTTGAGTTACAATTATATAAAAAAAATATCAAAAAATCTTTAATAACACAAGTACTTTTTAATTGTCAGTGTAACTGTAGTGAGACACCTGCTCTCAATAGTAGTATCCTCTGTAAAAAAAACAAAAAATCTTTAATCCCCCATAAGCAACCTTTCAGATTGGTCTGCCTATGGTACCAATGATCACAAGATGTTATTTGCATGTAACTGTAACTTGCACAATATATAATATCTAAGAAAAACAATGCATTTTTGGCCCAAGCAAGTGGTGTTCCCCTCATCAGGAAAGTAGTACAACTTAGTTGTAGTCTATTGATCTTAAAAACCTTTTATAAAAAGTACAATATTTTGACCATTTTCCATCAGTAGTATCACTCAACAACAACAGTCCCTCTTTCATTTAACCAAAACAATGCAGCACAGTCCCCACAGTATGAGAGCTAAGCTGGTATTTGTCCCTTTCGCACCACTCATGTCTATGCTGTCATCTGGTTGACTCTGCTGTCTGTGCTCCACAAAGCACCGCTTCATGTTCCCTGCCCCGTCCCACAGCAGCAGCTCTGCATGCGGGGAGCAGCAGGACGACGTGTAGCCCACCCACAGAGGGCGCTGCTTCTCTGACTGTCCCAGGACCCACTCAGACACATTGAACGGTGGGTCTCCAATCCTCAGAGTCTTCATCATGTGCTGAAGATGATGATGGTGTGTGTGAGGGGCTTCCTCGGTCAGTGGAGGCTTGTGGTAAAGGGTGACAATGCCGTTACCGCTGCGCAGCTGAATAAAGGCCAAACCAGAGCGCCCCCTGTCGGAAATGGCCAGTGATGCACTCCACTTGGATTCAGCACAGACAGAGGTGCAGAAAGACTGAACCAGTGTGATGGAGCAGGTAGGAGGTGCTGTGTCTGGGTCCTAAATTGGAGAAAAAATATTAAGACATATTCATTTAGGTCTCCAGTATCTTCATGACAAAATTGGACCTTGACTTGTTACCCTTTACTTGGGACCTCAAACAACAACCAACGATAAAATACATCCACGACATGGTCTTGACTCTTTATGCCATAAACTTTTGCATTTACAGTAAAATATACATTCTCGTGGAGAAAAGGGGAATTTACAAAATGATTTATAAAGTTAGTAAGTATGTTGTGAATATATGAATAAATAATTATAAAAGATTGAAAACTTGAAAGAGATGAAAGTAACCACACAATGAATAGTGACCAGATCATTCATCAGTCCACTAATTTTTATTTTGGAATGTGAATTTGACTCTACCCACTTGCAGCTCTAATCAACATCTCAGTCAGACGAATATTTTCCATTTTGAGCATTTTGAAATTTGCACGGGTTGATATTTGAAGGTAAATTTTTAGTTTGCGTCATGGTTGAGATTTTTGTGATTTGCCCTGATAATACATTATTGTTATCCGTTGCTTCTTATGTGCGTTTGGAAGCTGTATGAATATGTGACTCACAGGTGGGACCACAGTGAGGTAGGCCACAGCGTAGTTGGAGTCAGCAGAGCCCATGTCCCATACGGAGAGGCTCAGAGTGACAGTGGATCCAGGACGAGCTGACGGAGGTGTCAAAAGATCGACCTGCCCTTTGAAACTGCCCTGTTCACCAACATGGAATCTAAGGGAACAAAAGAATCTTGTTTATTAGTTTTAACAAAGTACCGGACATGTTGAATTAGTTGTGTTCATGTGTGGTCATCAACATACCAATAAGCCTATAGTTTAAAATTGAGAGCAGCTGACAAAACTATAATATATGTAAAAGTCAGACTAAAGTTTTATAGCTAACTCCTCTATAATTCAGAGGCCAATACACATATTACTGTCAGTACATATTAACTATGGTCTAATTATTTTCTCATAAAGGTGACAATATTTAAACACATACAGTATTAGGTAGACAGTAGACATAATGATATGGCAAGTTTTTATTACTTTGAAAAAATATATATATCAGAGTTGTTATGACACTTCCCCTTCAACTGAAATAAATATTAAATAAAATGCTTCAACATGAATGCAACTAAAAACAGAGGAATCTTTTGTGTCTCTGAGCTTACCTGTGTGGACCTCTGTTTTGGAGAAAGCCACAGTCGTCATCGGCCGTTAAACTGAAGAGCCGTGCCAGGCCGTGGTTCAGAAGCTCAAATGTCACGATTGTGCTGTGTCCCGGGACGAGGTGAGGGGCAGAGGAGACCTGAGAGATGGTTCATTTTCAGATGTTTGTTTTATGTTTACCCGTGAGAATTGTTGATTTTTACAGGTGATTGTGACAAGAAACAAAACATTTTATATTTTCTATTTAGCTAATGCAAACACAGTGCTTAGTAATATGTGTTATATTATACGTGATACATACATTGTTTTATTCTGCATTCTAAACAAGAAAATTCAATTCATGTTGTTACTGTATCAAATCAAAAGCTTTCAGTGAATCGTATTGTTCCTGGTTCCATTTTGGATTCTTTTTTTTCATCATCAAATCATTTTTATTTTTGCATTCCTGCATTTTGAGTCCTGCATTCCACTTCCTGACAAGCTGATACCCATAAACCATAAACCACACATCCCGAGATAGAGGTGGGGTGTCCTGTTTCTTGCCTGTATCTGGACGCGTGTCGGTTGAACCATCTCACTGGACACTCGCTCCACGGTGGCTCCGCTGCGATCTCGTCCCGTGAGCCGGACACTGAAGGGCTCTGGGGGAACAACCTGCACCCGTCCCACCAACTCCTCCACAGAGAAGGCAGGAGCCACAGAGGACGAGTTCAGCGCCACCTTCTGGACACTCTCTCCATCTGCTCCTACCAAGGTCACGTGACTGAAGGAGAGCTCTGCATTCTGGGCCAGACCTGTTACAGCCAGAACCAGGAAGGCGGGCTCACCTGTGGCGGAGAAGTACAATAAAATATAGAAATATGACAATAACCAGTGCACATTTGGTATGTTTCCTCAATGTTTGCTATAAACTGTAGTTTTCGGTCTCCCTTCCACTCATCTTCAAAAACTACAATACATCCAGAACTCCGCCGCTCGCCTTCTCACCCACACCCGCTCCAGAGATCACCCCCGTCCTCAAACAACTCCACTGGCTGCCTGTTCCACACCGCATCCAATACAAGGTCCCCCTCCACACCTACAAGTCCCTCCATAACCTGGCCCCCTCTTACCTCACTGACCTCCATCATCACTGTCCCACCCGCCGCCTCAGTACTAAACACCGAACCTTGGGGAACCGAGCCTTCGCTGCAGCTGCTCCCACTCTCTGGAACTCACTCCCTCAACCAATCAGAAACTCAGACTCTCTTCCCAAAACCCACTTGTTTTTAAGCTTGCCTTTCCTTAATTTTGTTTTTCAATGTTTATTTCTATGTGTTTTGTAAAGCATCTTTGAGTGTCCAAAAAAGCGCTATAGAAGTTTGATGCATTATTATTATTATTATTAGTGTTCAAAATAAAACTTAGATCACAGAATTTTCTTCACACTTGTCTGTATGTAAAAGTGAAATCCTCAACTTATACCTGCAATAGGACTTCCTTCCATCCTGGCCAATCCTGGGTGAGTCTCGTTGGCTACAGTGGCAAAATGATACAGAAAGTCCACGCTGCTGTCACCTGTTAACACAAATCAAAACTCAAAACAAGCTAAAACTCTGCTAAAGTAACGATTGTGATTGTGAAAAATATAAACAAATGTTTGATAGTCAAATTAAAATACAATGATTCAGGCCAGTGTCTTTAGGGAACTGTCTATTTGCACATTTGTTTACATTATTAATCACGTTATATTACACTGCAACATATCTTACCAATTACATTAAAGGTGATGTGCTCTTCGCTCTCGGTTTGGAGCTGCCACTGTCCCGGCTGCACTGGGGGGAGCAGGCGGATTCGGTACAGACCCTCATAGTGCTCAGTTGCTGCCAAGGACCCGTGTTCATGCAGAAGGGACTGGCTCTGCCCTGACGACCAACACAAAACATAAATGCAGCGTCAGAATGTGACGGCAAAGACTCCCCATCACCTCTTTGAATATTGGAGTATTTGGCACCTGATGGATTTGTAATGAGGCCTTCAGAGAGGAGGCCTGTGATGTGGAGTGTGACGTTTTTCAAAGATCCATCAACAAGAAATGAATGGGTCAACCGCGCCGCCCCTTCGCTCTCTGTGTGAAGAAGCGTCACCTAGAATAGAAAAAATAGAATACCATTCTTTTGTATTTACGGTTTAAATCGAATAACATTTTATGTATTTTATCTAGCATTATATTCAAATGTAGCTTTACTTATGATTTGTTATAAATTAATTTGGATATTCAAAATTATAACTATTTTCTTCATGTCATGTCATTTTTACAAATGTGGAATAATACTTAAAAAGTATATGGTGAAACTAGAATCTAGGTTAAACCATGTTACCACCAGAGGGAGGTGTATAATTCTTATATACTCCTCCCTCTATAATATAAAAATATGATTTTTTTCTACATTTGAAAATTACCTGCTGCAACCTGTCCTAGGCCAAAACAAAATTATGAGTAGTACTTTAGTTTTTAAAGGAAAAAATAAATGTACTGAATGTGTTTTTAGATAGAAGGGGCAGAAGTGTTTGTGGCAGAAGTTCCTGATATTACCATGGATGGATGGATGGATGGATGGATATTGCATAACATTTCTTCTTTAAACAGCACAGATTTTTTCTTCCACTTGTTGCTTTATAGCTCAGATGGGTTGGACAATGACAAGTGTACTGGCTGGAATAGAGAAGATCAAATTGTCCTTGTACTTTGTCAGTGGCGGTGTTGTCCTCCACGATGGCGGAGACTCTGTGGATGTCTGAGTTGGAGGTGAAGATGGTCATTCCTCCAGACAGAGCGGAGAGCGACGAGTACAGGGAGAAGCGCACCTCAGCCGCTCTCCTCCTCCTGCTGCCTCTGTCAGTCACATGAGCGGGGTCCTCCGTCAACAGAAATGTCACCTGAGCACAGATTTAACACAAAGCTGTCACCAACGTTACTATGTCCAGTAACATCAGATTGATGGTTAAATATACTATGAGGATGAATATTAATGGCCACAACTGACAGACACAGGGCCCACCAATCACCTTCCAAGATTTTGCCATTTTACAGCCTCAACCACGCCACTGGCACCTGGTGTTCCCAGTGGTCTCCCTTCACAGTAACCCCAGCAAGGACCAGGCACTATTAATATTCATCCTGGTCCCTCAACGCAATTGAATTTTGGGGAGCCCGTGTGCCCAGACGGGACTACACCTGCGGGGTATACTCTTGACAGCTGGAACTCGTGGAGACCCCTTTGTCTGTCAGTCCTGTCTATTGAAGATTCGAAAGACGTATATACAATACAATACAATACAATACAATTTATTCTTGTATAGCCCTAGGTCACAACAGAAGTCATCTCAGAGGACTTAACAAAACCATTGAAATCACCAACACAGGTCAGAGAATCAACAGTTAAAACACATGAAGAATATAAAGCACACACAGAAGAAAATGTCCATATATGTATATATCTTTGGCATTTTGGTGGTGGGGATCCTCCTTTTTGGGTTTGGAGCGGTCCTTTTCTACCGCAAATTTGGAGGCATGGCGGTTCGCAAGATTCACGAGCTGCTGGCCAACAAAATTGATGGGATGTACAAGGAGTTAAGCCGCGTCGTGATTGAGAGTGCCGTGTCTGGACAAAGGAGAGTTGTGCTAGTGGAACAGTTGATAAAAGACCTCGCAACTCGTTCACTCGAAGGACATAAGACACTAGAGATGAGACTGAATGACATTGTTTGCCAATCATGAACTCTCTGACCCGGCATGGATTTACCCCTGTGTACGGAGGTCTGAGGGCGCCACAATTCGGTTTAATTGGATTTAATAGAATATCTGCCTGCTTTTGACTGCTACATTGCATATAATATTGTCCCTCTCAGGCGATGTGTTGTTCTCCATTGCTGTGTCTTCTCTCCACTCTTATCTATGTATCTCACATTCCTCTGGCAAGGCCGAAGATAACATGGACCCCCACAATCTACAACACTCTGCAGCTCCAGCATGGATCCCGCTCCCCCCGCCTCCCTCTACCTATCCATCTTCTCCTTCCCTCCCCTCCACTCCTCATTGTCTTTCCGGCTCACCCCCTCCCTGACCCTGCCCCCCTCTGACGGCCACATTGGGCCGGCAGTCGGAGGTGCTCATCCCGAGAAAAAAATCCGTGGTATATACAAAGCACAATGTGTCTATCCAATTGTCTGTGAAACTGTGTGTTATTGCTCTCTGCTGTTTCTTGCTGCACACAGCGCCGCAAATGGTGAAGTGGCACGCTCTCTGCCAAAACAATTTCCAAGTGGTAACTTTGGTTTGTTACTTACGTGGCAATAATAATGATTCTGATTCTGATTCTGATTCCTTTGGAGTATCGAATCAAATTTATAGTCTATTAATTCACAAGGCTTGTGTCCTGGATCTATAGCGATATCTGTCTGTGGGAGTGGGTCAAGCCCCGGCGATCCAAGATGGCGCCCTATTCAAATAAATGGTTGTGCTCAGTGGCGCTTTGTGACGGCATGGGGGCTGAAAGATTAGCGGAAGTTGCCTGAAACTCGCAAAGATCTATGGGAAACTCGCCTGTATTTGGGCATCGTCTGGTCCTCCCGGTTCTGCGCAGTGGATGATCTCCCATAATGCGTTGCGCCAAACACGCGTGTGTGGGTCTCACACCGGGTCTCACGCACGTGCACAGAGGGGCTCGGCCGCGCTCTGACCAATCAGAGCAGTTCATCAGAGCGGGAGTTAGAGCGAGAGCCAGACGAGCAGAGTTTGTGCCACTAAAGTGTGGATTTAAACAAAACCGAAGGATTTAAGAAGAAAAAAAGTTCAGGATGACAAGGGACACTAAAATCCCCACAAAATCCGACCTTTATGAAAGCTGTAGGTTTTCTGTCAGCTGAGGTTGAGCTGTTTTAATATGCATTGAGTTCTATGGGGAAAATTTCTGGGTAGCCCACGTGAATTTAGTCTGGTTCAGTCTGCAGTACCGCGAGAATCCCCTGAGCACATGAGTTATTCAGCTACAAGCTAGCAATACCCTATCCAGTTATTATAATAGATCCATGGAGTGGGTCCCTCGCTCAAAGTCAGCCTCTGCATTTCCTGTATTTGAACAGTTTGATTCTTTGATAATTTGTAGTTCCCGAAGAAAACTACTGTTGTGATTTAGGGCTATATAAAAACAAATGAATGCTGACATACATTTGTTTTTTTTACCAGTACTAAATACTCCATAGAACTTGGTTTGATAATTACACTGCAAACAAGAACAATATACTTATTTTTTTCCCCCATCAGTTACGTCAAAGTCAACCTTATTTTGGCAGCAGAGAGCAGCAGAAATACAAAAATACTTACTTTGCTCTGTTTCTCCAGCACCAGGGCCTTCACGGAGCCGAACAGATGAGCGTCTTTGGGAGAAGCATCAGTGAACACAAAGATCTCTGACAGCGGTGGGCTGTGAGTGAGCGCCAACTATAGGAGATACAGAGAATTACATGTATGCATTAATCAGGGTTTAATCCCTTCAAAGATAAATGGTGTGCGTTATACATTTTAGAATTGATTTACTCCTTGAAAGATGGTTGAAACTGGAATAAGGTACACTGGACTTTTCCAGTATCAAAAAACATATCTGAGAACTATATGTACGTTTACCTGGCTAGTGACAGGTAAAAGTATTACCACTATACAATTGATAAAATGTATTCAATCTCAATTGGCTAGTGACAGTGGTAGGTAATACTTTTTGGAAGCCTTAACCATAAATTAATATTTATTTTACAGTAATCCTAATCTCTACAGTCCTATATTTGTATGCCACAAATTTGACATAGTGAATTGTTTTTTTTTGGTACATTTCAGGGACAGTATTTGTACACAATAGTCCTAAAGTCTTGTCTTCTCTGAATAATAACAATATTTTGTCTTTAAATGAGCAGTCCCAATTGTCCCGTTGTACGATTGTATTCTGAGAAGTATGATTTTCTGTAAGTTTATAATATATTGTTAGCGGTAACAGTGCTTACCTGTACAGCAGAGAGGCACATTTCGGGCTCGTCTCCTCCTCCCAGAGCCAGAAGATTCTCCATGTGTTGCATGAACTCCTGAGGGTCATCGGTCTCAGTCACTGGACCCACCTCTGCAAACCGGACACACACTAATATCAATTCTACGACCACAAAATGGTGAAAGGCCAAACTTAAGTAATAAACTTAATTATAAATGATTTACAAGGATGTACATTTATCAAATAGTTAGATAGTTAAATATATACTTTATTGATCCCCTGTAGGAGAAATTAAACTTTATATCTGTCTGAATTACGTTCAAAGTTCCAAATGATAAAAAAAAAAAGTGGATTTTGTCAGACCTGGGTCATGAAAAGGCACCAGTATGAACGTGCCGGGCTGCTGAGGAGTGCGTGCTCGCTGTGAGATGATGGAGTGAGCTCTGAGACGTGCTGCTGTGATCTCCTCAAACATGCTGCCAGTCGTGTCCAGGACAAACACCAGAGCAGGAGCCTGGTTCACACTCAACAGACTGAAACCAACAACACAAATGACGTGTCAATTACAGCAAGCGGAACAAGTCAATCAGCAGTCCAGATTTCCTGTCCTGGCTGGGGCCTGGACAAAAATCCCAGTTGAGGAAAGGATTAGATAATATCAGTAAAGAAGACACAGGAGGCCAGAGTTCTAATGCAGGTGCAGTTTAATGCACCTGCATTAAACTTACTTCCTGCTCTGGACAGAGCAGTCACATTCTCTTGCTGCTCCTCGCTTGCTGCTTTTTAATCTCCTTTAATCATTTTTGCTTACATTTTTATTCCACAAAACACGGATTACTCCTTTTTGCATACTTCAACACAAGACTTGTGGAATTTACCTAACTTACAGCATGTCGGGAGGACGGAAAAAAAGAACAAAACTTTGCAACAGCTGTTTTTCACTCAAACAGGAGCTAAAACTTCTTCAATACCGAATGTTTGTGCTTGAATCAGAATTGGGGATGAACACAACAATACCAGTGAAGGGAAATGGACCAAATGGACAGAACGTAAGTTATGATGACGCTATTTCATTTCCCAAAATCAACAGAGACAATTGTTGGAACACATATGGTGCCAAGCCCAAACAAGGCAAAGCTAATGATAACAAGAGTGTCATAATGCCACAGCAAAAATCTTTAATTACAAGGAACCGCCATTCACCACTTTTGGAAGATGAATCAGCAGTAGCGTCTCAGTCCCAGTCTCAGTCTCAGTCAAGGTCAAATGCAGCTGAGTCGCTCTTTATCGGGGATTCTGCGATAAGACATGTAAACATGCGTAATCTCAAGGTTCACTCAGTACACTCGGCCAAAGTTGATGAGATAAGGCGGTTGGCTCCAAAGCTTCTGTCTGAGACCGGCGGGGTAAAAAGATTGTTGATCCACCTGGGGCAGTAGACGTCTATGACAACACAAGTGAAAAGTTGAAACGGGATTATTCTCTCTTATTGGACGACCTTGCAAAAATGGACGTAACAATTGTTGTCAGTGGCCCACTACCAAATATGGACGGGGCGCAAATGAAATTCAGTCGTATGTATCAGCTAAATACTTTCCTACTCAACGAATGTTCACACAGAGGACTTGCCTTCATTGAGAATTTTAATCTGTTCTGGAATAGGCATGAGCTTTTTGAAGGGAAAGGGCCACATCTGAACACTTACGGAGTAAAAGTGTTGATGGATAACCTTTCTTTTGCCCTGAGACCTCAGCCTGCGCAGCGCGTGCAGCCATCGAAAGGGAGGAAGCCAACTCCAAAAGTCTCTGCACCTCCACCACCTCGAAGAATCTCAACACCACCACCACCTCGAAGGATCTCAACACCATCACCGCTTCGAAGGATCTCAACACCTCCACTGTCATCAGAAGCAGCTGCATCATCACCAGCAGCAGCTGCATCATCACCAGTAGCACCACCAGCAGCACGACCACCACCACCAACATCCTCATCCCCAGCCTGCTCCGAAGTAGTCACGCCTTCTTCCTCTGAAGCCCCCATCCTCACCCCAGGCTACTAGTAGGGTCGATGCAATAGGGTGCAATTTTTTTATTTTTGGTGGTTTTATGTTAGACTAGGTCTAGTCTATAACATACTAAAAGTTGGACAAAATCGGAGTATGGGAAAGTGTCAAAATTTGGAGATGACTATTTCGCTTTACAAGTCATTTTCCATTTACGTGTGAAGCACTAGCTCGGTCAGTTTTCATGATAGATCAATACATTTGTAGTTTTATTCAGGTTTCAAGGTCAATCTTTCACATGGAAGGGTTACCAGTGATGCCAAATAAACCCTTATACCACATCAAGGGGTACTCCAACCCCCATTAACCTTGTTGCACCCACACTGATTCACTTACGTCACAGTACTTTTTCAAAACTTTTAACACCTCATCCTCATCTATCACTGGATCATTTTTCATATTGTCACAATTACCAGTGCATCTCGGCAATGCCCACATGCACTGGTACATTCTAGTCTATGCCTCCTGCAGGTACACCTTAGGGCAGGGGTCTCAAACCGGTTCCAGAAAGGGCCATGTGGATGCAAGTTTTAGTTCCAACAGCTCCAAACTGAGCAGGAGCACAGATGACTCCACCCATTTCCTCAGGTGAGTCAGGTGAGTAATCTGAAGATTATTGTAACCATTCATCACATGAAAATGGTTTAAAGCTGTCTAGTTGTTCTGCAACTATCCCAAGGTCTGTCTCATCTCTTCTCACCCTTATGTTGTTCACTTGTTGTGCAACTTCTTGCGGTAAGTTCTCGCATGGCGAGGTTGTAAGCAGATGACACAGTGGAAGACATGGACCAAACTGTCCTCTGGTGCTCGGACATCATCAATTCATTAACATAAACAACACAGCTATAGCAAGACATCTACTACCAAGACAATCAGACTTTGGGGGGGGGTTTCAGTTGTTTTCTCAAGAATCCTATACCCTATAGAACAATTTCATTTGTATACAAAGGTAAGGGGCCCAATTAATAGAAGAAAGTGCTAATTCACCACTGGTACCCATTTTAAAAATAATCACCCATATGCCTGTTTGTGAACCTGGGTGGGGGCAATACAGTGTTTAGGGGTAAGGGTACCCCGAGATATGGTATAAGGGTTTATTTGGCATCACTGGTAACCCTTTCATGTGAAAGATTGACCCTGAAAACCTGGATAAAAATCCAAGATATATTGATTTATCATGAAAACTGACCGAGTTGGTGCTTCACACGTAAATGGAAAATGACTTGTAAACCGAAATAAGTCATCTTTGAAATTCGACACTTTCCCATACTCCGATTTTGTCCAACTTTTAGTATGTTAAAGTCTAGACCCAGTCTAAAATAAAATCACAAAAAAACAAAATGTTGCAATTTTTTTGGGGTTGTGGGTACGCGGGCAGTATATTGACCCTACTATACAGCAGACAGGCCTGTGCTGGGGTTTCCTCAACCACCTGCCCCTCCATCAAAGACTCCCTCGCCACCTCCCATGGACCTGTCTTGGGTCCCCCCTTCCACGTCCACTCCATCAAGAGAGAATGGGGACACGTCCCTTTGTTTTTCATCCCCGCATTCACTGTTATACCTACCTGAACACTCTGCAGGGCTAATAAAATCGGCGATGAAGACTATTCCTCTCACACCCATATTAGCTAGATCTAGAGTCCTGTCCAACATTCTAAACCACTCCCCATATGTACCTCCAAAACCACCTAGGGTTTCCAATTCACCTACAAAAACCACCTCCACCTCCCCTAACCTCATGACCATTCCACCCCCACTTCCCCCTCGTTCAATACCCAAAACCTCTGCCTCAGCCCCCCCCGCCCCTAACCCATCTCCAAAAACCCCTCCACCTCCCTGCCCCCCTCGTTCAACACCCAAAAGCCACCCACCTCTCCATCCTCCTCCCCCGCCTTCCCCTTCCCCTCTTATCTTCTCCCCTTCAACACTGGGATGCACAGGGTCTCTGCTTCGCAGCCACTGGCAGTCTAGTTAGAGGAGAGACCCGGCTGGGGCCCTGTCATGAAGCCACCTGTGCCATTCCCTTAGTGATAACACAAAGAATACATTACAGAAAGACATCTGGAGTTAATCAGTCTAATCTGGAAAATCTAATTCTTGTTCCGTGTAAGAATCAGCCGACCACAACCGCTGATACTGAAACTTTGAAACTTACTACGCTTAATGTCAGATCTCTTTGTAACAAGTCTTTTTTAATCAATAATTTTATTTGTTCTCATAATCTTGATCTTATGTTCATGGCTGAAACTTGGCTTGACCAAAATTCAGGAAATGCAGTTTTAATAGAAGCATCACCACCAAATTTCAAATTTGAATCGGAAATACGGGAAAACAAAAAAGGAGGAGACCACTTTGTCTCCCATAGAATGTCTCTTGGGAAGTTTTTGTCATTTGAACATGTGTCTTTTAAAATACAACAAAAACAATCTCCTCCAATACTCTTCATTGTCCTATACAAGCCACCGCAGTCATGTCACAGTTTTATTGATAATTTTACCGAGTTGCTTTCAGTTGTATGCACAGATTTTGATAGTTTGGTTATTACAGGTGATTTTAATATTCATGTGGATAATGTTGATGACAGAAATGCAAATGAGCTGAGTTCTATACTTGAATCCTTTGATCTCACTCAGCACGTGAGTGGCCCCACCCACAGCAGAGGGCACACTCTAGATCTGTTAGTTACAAAGGGGGTGAATATTTCAAATGTAAACGTGGTCGATGTTGCTCTTTCGGATCATTTCTGTGGTTTTTTTTTTGACATGTGTTTCACTAACAAACCACCAGTGGACTCTGCAACTGTTCAAAGAAGGTGCATAAATGAAAATACGAGTGATCTATTTATGGGAATGATAAACTTTGAGAATGCATCGTGTTCTACTGTAACTGTTTAACTCTGTCACCTCTAGTGTTTTGAATGTTCTGGATACCGTTGCCCCTGTGAAGGTAAAAATTGTGAAAAATAAGCAGAAGGCGCCGTGGGCAAAAACAGACTCGGCAGGGCACAAAAGAGAAAGTGCCGGAGGGCCGAGGGAAGTGGCCCTCCAACCTGGAAGTGGCTCCAGGTTGATTACGAGATCTTCAAAGATAAGTTGTGCGAGTTTAACCGGGTGCTACGTAGTACGAGAGAAAGGTATTTTTCTGAAATGATTGAAGGCTGCAGCAACAATCTGCGTGTTATGTTCTCAAGAGTTAATAGATTAACAAACCCCCCTGTTCAGATGCCATTAGAGCTAACTTCCAAACGTAAATGCAATGAGTTTGCAAATTTTTTCAATGACAAGTTTCAAGGCATCAAAAACGCCATTGTCTCCAATCCACAGATAACCATCCAACAGCCAGAAAGGCTCTCTGAGCTAACTCACTTTGCACCTGTAAATGATCAAACTGTCCAAGAGATAATCTCCAGTCAGAGCTCCTCCACATGCAGCCTGGATGTACTACCCACTAGATTTCTGAAGTCTGTTCTGAGCAGTCTGTTACCTTCACTCACACAGATAGTAAACATGCCCCTTCATTCTGGAATATTCCCAAAGGCCCTGAAAACTGCAGTCTTCAGGCCCCTGCTAAAAAAGAGCAGTCTGGATGCTACGGTACTTAACAACTATCGTCCCATCTCAAATCTGCCATTTATGGGGAAAGTCCTTGAGAAAGTCGTCTACCTACAGCTTACTAGATTTCTTATAATCAACAACTCATTTGATATGTTTCAGTCCGGCTTTAGACCCCACCACAGCACTGAGACTGCTCTCGTCAAGGTTACAAACGATATCCGGCTGAACACTGACGCAGGCAAAGTCTCAATCTTAATCCTGTTAGATCTGAGTGCTGCCTTTGACACCGTCGACCATGAGATCCTCTTACAGAGACTAGAGGACTGGGTTGGCGTCGCTGGCACCGCCCTAAGTTGGTTTAGGTCTTACCTTGAAGACAGGAAGTACTTTGTGGAGATTGGAAACTGTGTCTCAGATCATATGGCCCTGACCTGTCGAGTACCACAGGGGTCGATCCTGGGACCTCTTCTGTCCAATCTCTACATGCTGCCGTTAGGTCAGTTAATACGCAGAAACAAAGTGTCCTATCACAACTATGCAGACGACACTCAGATCTATGTCTCACTGACTGCAGGAGAATATGGACCAGTGGACTCACTCCTTCACTGTATCCAACAGATCAGTGAGTGGATGCAAAACAACTTCCTTCAGCTAAACGCAGACAAAACTGAAATGATTGTCTTTGGTCCCCAGAAACAAAGAGAGAGCGTCATCTGTCATCTACAGTCTCTCTCCCTAAAACCTTCAAACAAGGTCAGAAATCTAGGGGTAATACTGGACTCAGACTTAAATTTTAATAGCCACATCAAATCAGTAACATCAGCAGCTTTTTACCATCTAAAAAACATTGCCAGGATCAAAAACATAGTGTCTAAAGCAGACCTGGAGATTCTTATCCATGCATTTGTCTCCAGTAGGTTAGACTACTGCAATGGCCTGCTCACAGGTCTGTCCAAACAGGCTGTAAAACATTCAAAATGCAGCAGCTCGAGTCCTGACTAGAACCAGGAAGTACGACCACATTAGTCCAGTCCTCAGGTCTCTGCACTGGCTTCCTGTGGCTCAGAGAATAGACTTTAAAACAGCTCTGCTTGTGTACAAATCTCTCCATGGCCTCGCACCAAAATATATTAGTGACATGTTAGTCCCATATGAACCAGCCCGGACTCTGAGGAGCACAGGGACTGGACTCCTGTTAGTGCCCAGAGTCAGAACTAAACATGGGGAGGCTGCTTTTCAGATTCATGCTGCTAAAATCTGGAACAGTCTTCCTGAAGATGTGAGACAGGCCTCCTCAATGACAATGTTTAAAACCCGGTTAAAGACAGTTCTGTTTACCTGTGCATACAACTGAGGGATTTTATATTTGTATCTTTCTTTTTAATGTTCTGTGATTATTTTAATGCTTTCTTATTTTGTTCAGCACCTTGAATTGCCTTGTGTATGAATTGTGCTACATAAATAAACTTGCCTTGCCTTGCCTAATGATCCATCAGCACAGTGACCCTCCTCTGGTTTTTTCCACCTTGTCCCTGGCCAACTCTTGGTAAATATGTACATAGTTTTGTCCTGTACATACTAGCAGCCTTTGTGTGCTTACAAGTTACCGGAGAATAGCTTTGAGTAACTATTTAAGTTTAAGTTTAAGTTTATTTAATTCATGCTTGCAGCTAAAAGCTGCAAAACAGCAGAATTTACACTGTAAAATAGTAAAAACAGATAAACATTTAACATTTAAAATTCAAAATTCATCTCATAGCCAAGTAGGTCTATCATTACAATCAACATATGGGGCATAACAGTCAAGATAATAAGTTCAATATACACTAATACTTCTACAATTACATATTACTAGCACTATTATGCAACATTTTATCCTTATTATGCTAAAGTCAGGGGTTTTGTATCAAAGTCTTACTTCTTCATCATACTAAAATATCTTTCAATATTATGCTAAAGATATAGATGTTTTATGCTAGAGCTAGAGAATATATTGTATTTGATCTTTGTCTTGTTCTGTGTTCTCCTCATTCCTACTGTTCTGTAACCTGTTACGCAACACTCAGATTTGTTTTTCTGTTTTGCTATCCTGTTTTTTTTTTCTTTCCTTGACCTATTTCCAGCTTGCAGTCATTTACCACATTCACATTTTTTTCCTGATTGAAAAAACTTCAAATAAGTACAGTGACCCCAGACATTTAAACTCCACTTTTCAACAGGATTACGGCACAAGGAACCCTATGCTCAACATCCCATTCAAATGATAAGGCTCAGTCTGTGTTGAGTGTACTGCTGAGAAATGGAGGTTCTAAGTTTTCACCCTGGAATGAAATATGCAGATAAAACTGTTTGTCTTTGCTCATAAAAATCCCCAAGATTGCTCAGAACATAGCCGGAGTATAAGAATTCTCAGGGTATTATATTTCCTTACTTGAGGAAGAGCTTGTGGCCCACAGTGTCTCGCAGGTCCCTGAGCACAGCGAGTGTGGCCTCAAAGGCGACTCGGGCTGCGTCTGTGTGGAGGTAGTGATGAGGAGAGAACAGAGGAGAGGTGCTGTCCTTGTTTATTCCTCCTCTGGCTCCTTGAGACCTGCTGCTGTCCATCACTCCTCCATGACTGCATTTACCTGACGGATAGAGCAACAATGGGACTTTTTAACAAGCTTACATATAGCAAAGTTACTTCCTGTCATGGGTAATCATGTTTTCATTGCCATTAACTGAGTCACTGTTATTATTATAGATCCATGCTGTGTCTCAGAGCCTCATGCTGCTAATATACAGATGTAATCATACTGCTGCTAACATGTACAGATGTAAACATACTGCTGCTAATGTACAGATGTATACATACTGCTGCTAATGTACAGATGTAAACATACTTCTGCTAATGTACAGATGTTAACGTACCGCTGCTAATGTACAGATGCTAACATATGACATATTTTTTGCACTAAAATACACAGTACTTTACACTTGCCTCTTATTTTGCCAAATGTAAAACTTCTACACTTATTTTCAAGATAGAGATTTTATACTAGTTATTTGATGCTAGAGTTTGAGATTTTGTTTTATTTTAATTAGTATAGCTATTGTTATCTTGTGCTGTGTGCTCCTCATTCCTTGTGATGCAACACTGAAATTTCCCCACTGTGGGACAATTAAAGGATTTCTTAATCTTAATCTCTTAATCAGCAACAAATGAAAGAAATGTGCTGATAATAAGGGTGGATTGGATGCTGGCTATAGTCTGGTTGGTGTATCTAGGCCAAGACTACCTGCATTTTCTTTGTTTTGTCAAATATGAAACATGATGATTTAGGAAAGTACCGTGTGGTTTGGGAGGCGTGGTGCTGAAGTATCCTGTGGTGAGCAGTGAGTGTTTGTGAGGCCTACGCAGACGGAACATGAGGTTTTCTCTGCACGTCAGACTGAAGCACTCCATACAGGTGGGAGTATCCACTGCACAGACACAATATTATTATAACAATTAAATTAAATCACTATAGCATTAAACGTTTTGAAAAAAAATATTGGAGAAATGCATTTATATTCTAAACTACACTCTTAAAAACACATTGGTTAAATTTAACTTGTTTTTGTTGTTTTAGTCAAAGATGGTAGTTATGTGTCAAAAAGTTCTATTATTTAATCTCCAACCTAGCGATGAAGTGTCTTGCTTAAGGACAGTTTGACCGTCCCACTGTGGCACCCATTACTCGCCACCCTATTGTTGAGGTCTGACAGGAGTGGACTTTAATATGAAGGTGACGCTACAATTAGACACAATATGCAAATTATAGTTTTTCCAAACAATGTCTTTTTAGAATGTTTTTTTTTTTTCATGTTTTAGGTAGATCCAGGACTCAGGCCTATGTTTTGTTCTTAGAAAATTGTAAGAGCCCAATAATAGAAGGTTGAAAATGACTTAAATAATGAATTACTAATGAATCCCAAGCAAATGCATTTGGAGTATACGTTGTATACATTAGCAAAATGAACCAATGTAGCAGTAGGTGTCCAAAAAAAACCCAAATATCTCTTAAACTCTTTTGGTGATCCATTTGGACTTGAGTCTGGAAGCAATTCAATTCAATTAAATGTATTAAAATTGAATATTAAGATTCTGGTATTTTCATGGTCTCCCATCACAGTTCAGTACTTACATTAAAGCATCTGTATTCAGAATAAATGAATACATCAAGCATTTACCAGGTGAAAGTATTCGAAACAATGCAATCGTATATGGTACGGTTTGATTTAACCATATTTGCTTTCTATGCTTACCAAGATACAAAAGAATGTCTTAGTTTTTTTAGGAGAGGTATTGTGGCACAGTGGTGTCAGGTGTGTCCATATGTCAAAAGCCCAGCTCGGCTTGATCCCTGATAAAAAAGGATCTCCTTTAGTTTTGTCAATGTTAAGACGTGGTTATCCTGTGCGTCAACATAGTAGTCTACATTCCAAGGCACCTATGAAAACATACTGTATGTGTTCTTTACGTCTAACAACACATTCTGAACAGAAATAATAGGGTTTTTCGAGATCTATAGCCATAGCTGCTGTCTAAGACCCAATACTTTTGACCTCTATATTTAAAAGTTTAGTAAATGTCAGGAAGTTCTTGTCATGTCATTGTCATTGTTTTTCTTTTTTGTTTTTGTCTCTCACTAATCAGCTTTGGCATCCATATAGTGTTATTTGTGTGTGTGTGTGTGTGTGTGTGTGAAAAGAGTATTACTTTGGGCCACAGGCACAGCTGGCTCTTCTGGGTGCAGCAGGTGATGGTAGACGTCCTGATGTCCCATCTCCACCCAGTTACTGTGGCTGTAGAAGTCCTATAGAGGAATTATTTCATGCAAAAATAAACCTTGTATCATTTTCTATTTCACTTCAAAAGACACACTTTATCAGTCGGAGTCTTACTGTATACAGTACCTGCAGTGAGTGAAACAGTTGTCCCAGACTGTGCCGCGCCCTCTGATACTCTCTGGCCTTCAGGGAGAGCAGGGTCTGGGTCCACACCAGCCTCAGCGCTCCCATGGCCCCGTCCCACTGCTCCGAGTCAAAGTGGTACACTGGGTCGGACCGAGTAGAGCTCAGGAAGTCCATGGCTGCATTGGACTTGACCACCTCCCCCACAGACCTCCAAAAACCTCGTCCAAGTCTGTTCTGAAGGGGTAGAGGTACAAAGAATAATGGTAATACATACAATGCCTTTAACATCATGTAAAAATTAGTTACAACAACATGTTGCATTATGGTCAAAAAAAGGCTATCAGTCCTACAATGGACAATGGCTTTGCAGTGCATATTTCAAGAATAGAAAGGATCATTAGAACCATTGAAAAACATATACGTAAACTAGGACATGCAAACCTCACTGACACCACATACTGTATCTCAAAGTTTGAATGAGGTCTTTCATACCATCAACTATGAATATTTCAGCCAATATAGTACGACATGCCATATTGGGTTGTCTGTGTTATTGTTTTACTCAATATTCACACATGCCAACAGGGATTGTCTGAAATTACTGAAGGAATGATCTGCAATTTATTTGAGCAGAAATCCATTAGATGACAAATAGATTAAAGAAATGACAAAATATATGCATCTTGAAAATTGTTAGATTTTGAGTTAAAAGTGTATGCGTGTGTTCTTGTGCGTGTTTCTCACCAGTTCCTCGATGCCTTCTTGCTTTCTCAATTGTTGCAGTGTCTCCATAGTGACATTGAGGATGGCCCGCTCGGTGATGAGCTGGTGTGTTTGAGAGTCCCAGGACATGGTGAGCACGCGCGACCAGAAGTTTGGCAAGAAGCCCACGCATGGTACAGTCAGAAACACAGCCCAAATGAAAACTATACACAGCTTCATATTTTCTGATGGGCCGGAGGTGTGTTGTTGTTCACATATCTGCTGATGACAATCCAAATGAGAACAATAGTGCATAAAGGTTTGTTTTTTCCTCTGACATTGTATACCAGTTTGGTTAATCAAACTCATTTAACTGTTCTATTGAGACAGACGACAAAAAAAATCACTGCTGTATCGTTATTGAAATGGATTTGGACTATCAGGGATGAGGGGCCCTCTTTACTCCCTCACTGATTTGAGGAAGTGCTGTCATCCTGCAGCTGATGTTGAACTGATTTCCGATAGAGTGAAAGATAGAAGGATGACTCAACATTTGGAAATGTCGAAGTAAACATACTCTGATCTTTGAAACCAATCCTTTTATTCAAGTGTAAAGAAAATAAGTAGTTGCCCAAAATCTGAGGCTCCTTTTATTTCCACTTTTGATGCTGCACATGTGCCTCGGTTCAGATGAGCACATCCTGAATGTGCTATCTAAATGTATTTTTATTTTTATTCATAATATTAATTATTATTATTATCATTAGGATACTATAACCGCCCACCGCACTCCCCCGCCTCCTGCTCACCAGCACCGGGTGAGTACAACGGTGCAAACACTGCTCCCTGTCCGTCTGGCAGTGCATTACCAGTCCAAACACTGAACTGTGCTGACTCCCTTCTGACTCTGGGAGCTAAAGAACAACAAGGGTTTTCACATTTTAGGCCAATTGAGACTGTGTGTGTTCCTCGCACCAGCTCAAAAATGTTTTTAAATTCTAAAAAACGAAATCAAAACAGGACAGCAGTTAGACGGTCCAACTCTGCAAATCTAATTTCTGTTCCCTGTAGAAATCAATCAACCACATTAATCGACTCTGACGTTATTTTTAAACTTGCTATGCTTAATGTCAGATCTCTATGTAACAAATCATTTTTAATTAATAATTTTATCACTTCTTATGATCTTGATTTTATGCTTATGGCTGAAACATGGCTGGACCAAAATACAGGAAATGCAGTTCTAATAGAAGCAACACCACCCAATTTTAAATTCGAATCCGAAATACGAGAAAACAAAAGGGGGGGAGGCATAGCTGCAGTTTTTAGAGAGCACTTTGTCTCCCATAGAATGCCCCTTGGAAATTTTTCATCGTTTGAGTATATTTCTTTTAAAATGGAACAAAAGCAATCTTCTACTCTTTTCATTGTCCTGTACAGGCCACCACAGTCATGTTGCGATTTTATTGACCATTTTACTGAACTACTTTCATTCGTGTGCACAGATTTTGATAGTTTAGTTATTACAGGTGATTTTAATGTACATGTTGAGAATGTTGATGACAGAAATGCAAAGGAGCTGGCTTCTGTATTTGAGACCTTTGGTTTCATTCAGCACGTGAGTGGCCCCACCCACAGCAGGGGGCACACTCTTGACCTGCTAATTACAAAGGGGGTTAATGTATCAAATGTTAATGTAGTTGATGTTGCTTTGTCAGATCATTTCTGTGTATTTTTTGACATGTGTTTTGCTAGCAAACCACCAGCTGAATTTACAATTGTTAGAAGAAGACACATACATGAAAACACAAGTGAACTGTTCATGGGAATGCTAAATTTTGAGAAAACTCCATGCTCTACTGTTGATGAATTGTATAACTCTGTCACCACCAGTGTTCTGACTGTTCTGGACGCCATTGCTCCTGTGACGGTTAAAATAGTTACCAGTAAGAAAAAGGCCCCATGGACTAAGGCAGACTCGGTCAGGGCACAGAAGCAAGAGTGCCGGAGGGCCGAACGGAAGTGGCGAAAGTCCAATTTCCAGGGCGATTATGAAATCTTTAAAGATGAGTTGGGTGAATTTAACCGGGTTCTACGTAGAACAAGAGAAATGTATTTTTCTGACATTATTGGAGGTTGCAGTAACAATTTTCGTGTTATGTTTTCAACAGTTGGTAGATTAACGAACCCCCCTGTAAAGTTGCCCCTAGAATTTTCCTCTAAATCTAGGTGTAATGAGTTCGCACAGTTTTTCGATGACAAAGTACAAGGAATCAAAAACACTATCACCTCCACAGCACGTATAACAATGCAACAGCCAGAGAAGCTTTTTGAGCTAACTCACTTTGCACCTGTGGATACTGAAACTGTCAAAAAGATAATCATGAGTCTGAGCTCCTCCACATGTAGCCTGGATATATTGCCCTCTAAATTTCTGAAGTCCGTCCTGAGCAGTTTGTTACCTTCACTGACACAAATAGTAAACATGTCTCTGTCGTCAGGAACATTTCCTATGGCCCTAAAAACAGCAGTCATAAGACCTCTCCTAAAAAAGAGCAGTCTGGATCCTGCGGGACTTCAAAATTATCGCCCCATATCGAATCTGCCATTCATTGGAAAAATTCTTGAAAAAGTGGCCTCCCAACAACTTACTGAATTTTTAACAATGAATAATTCTTTTGATATGTTCCAGTCTGGGTTTAGACCCCACCACAGCACTGAGACCGCTCTAGTGAAGGTAACAAACGACATTCGACTTCACACTGATGCAGGTAAAGTCACAGTTTTGGTCATGTTAGATCTTAGTGCCGCGTTCGACACTGTCGACCATGAGATCCTCATGCAGAGACTGGAGGACTGGGTTGGTGTCACTGGCACAGCCCTAGACTGGTTTAGGTCTTACCTGGAGGATAGGAAGTACTCTGTGGAGATTGGAGACTGCGTCTCAGATGATGTGGCCCTGACCTGTGGAGTACCACAGGGGTCGATCCTGGGACCTCTCCTATTTAATCTCTACATGCTGCCGTTAGGTCAGTTAATACAAAGAAACAAAGTGTCCTACCACAATTACGCCGACGACACTCAGATCTATGTCTCACTGACTGCAGGAGAACATGGACCACTGGATTTGCTCCTTCACTGTATCCAACAGATCAGTGACTGGATGCAAAATAATTTCCTCCAGCTAAATGCAGACAAAACGGAAATCATTGTCTTTGGTCCCCAGAAACAAAGAGAGGGCGTCATTTGTCAACTTCAGTCTCTCTCCCTACTTCCTTCAGACAAGGTCAGAAATTTGGGGGTAATACTGGACTCAGACCTAAATTTCAATAGCCACATAAAATCAATAACATCAACAGCTTTTTACCATCTGAAGAACATTGCCAAAGTTAGAAATATAGTGTCCAGGGCAGACTTGGAGATTCTTGTCCATGCATTTGTCTCCAGCAGGCTAGACTACTGCAATGGCCTGCTTACAGGTCTGTCCAAACAGACCTGTAAGCAGCTGCAGTACATCCAAAATGCAGCAGCTAGAGTCCTGACAGGAACCAGGAAGTATGACCATATTAGTCCGGTCCTCAGGTCTCTGCACTGGCTTCCTGTGGCTCAAAGAATAGATTTTAAAACGGCTCTGCTTGTGTACAAGTCTCTCCATGGCCTTGCACCAGAATACATTAGTGACATGTTGGTGTCATATGAACCGGCCCGGACTCTGAGGAGCACAGGGACTGGCCTCCTGCTGGTGCCCAGAGTGAGAACCAAACATGGGGAGGCTGCGTTTCAGATCCATGCAGCTAAGATCTGGAACAATCTCCCTGAAAATGTGAGGGAGGCGTCTACTCTGTCAATGTTCAAATCCAGGTTAAAGACTGTTCTGTTTGCCTGTGCATACAACTGAAGGATTTTATCTCCATTTCTAATGCACTGCTGTCATTTATTTATTTTTTTAAATTTCTTGTGAAATTTTGAAAGTTTTAATGGTTTTATTCTTTTGTGTGATTTTAATGTTTTAATTGTGTTTTAATCTTTTGTGTGATTTTAATGTTTTAATTGTGATTCTGGTGTTTGTTTTATGTGATGATTTGTGATGTGGACTGTGAAGCGCTTTGTGTTGCCCTGTGCATGAAAGGCGCTCTACAAATAAACTTTGATTGATTGATTGATAAGGCAATGTATGTTTTTGAATGCATTTTTAACATATAACTGTTCCACACATGTACATATAACGTTTCTTGCTTGTGTGCCCTCTTCTTACCCCTCTTCACATTTTTCTCATGCAGTGTGTACAGAGGCTCCTATTGTTCATTGTCATCTTTCTTCAAATGGTTTTGTTCTCATGTCTGACACTAAAACAATACATTGCAGCCTCCCAACTTCCACTGCCTATGTTTTTCCTTTGATTCAACATTAATAGACACATCTTCATAATGCTTTGTAATACCCCATCTTAAACCATACAAAATAATCTGGGAAACTCAAACAAATTCCTCACTTTCTAAAGTGTTCTATCGCCACAGTCAAGAATAAATGTATGGCCTCTGCTACATCTTTAATTATTTTATTTTTTTACACAGAACGTAAAAAGAGAGAACCCTGTCTTAGCCAGCCAATCAGCTCTCAGCTCAGGGTGTCAAATACCTTTTCACGAGAATGTGAATCATATAATGTTCAGTAATAAGATAAAGAAAGAATTTGGTGTAGTTTCACAAACACTGTTGGACAAAATATTGGACAAAATCCAATTTTTTTTTTAAATCTTTAAACATTTGTTTCTAGTGGCAATTACACCCATAACTCTGCTTCCTCAATGAGATCAATGCAGCAGTGTGGAACATTCCAGAAAAACAAAGACTATTATACATTATAGAGCATAAATCCAGTCAACTAAACACCAATAAATGTAACTATCAGTACAAATCAGTGCTATTTTTCATGTCATCAAGTCCTGTCCCAAGTTGTAACATGAAATTGAGTTCATCCCAGATTAATACATTTTGTATTGTTTTTACCACTATTGTGTGAACTTCTACTTTGACTGTTTTGTTGCAGATCATACTTCTCTTGTCTACTTACTTCCTCTCATCAAGTTCCCATGCAGGCAGACACGAACACCCGTGCACTTACCTCAAAACTCCTGGTTCCATGTGGTGTTGTCGCTCTCACCACAAACTGCTGCTGACCTCCTTTGCCCACATGATCTTGTTTCTTTTCTCACGTCCTTGAGTTGTTATCTCGAGTTTACCAAAGCACTTGTGTGGTGGTAGCAGTTGTGTAAAGGTGCCAGTTAACTGTGCTCAGTCTTTTGGACACTTCCATGAGGACATCCCGGCTTCACCCCATTTCCCGGCGCCCCTCCTCAGAGCCTATTATTGCACGGTGCATTGATTTATCACAATAGGGCGCATATATTAGCGGGCAGTGCACCCCCAGTCCTGTTGTTCTCCATCACTCTCTCTTTTCCATACAACCCCTAAAAAGCCCTGCCTAAAAAACAATTAGAAACACTAGCAACCCCCCCGTCTGCCCTTCACCCGCATTTTTCTGGCGTCAGTGGCCAAGCAACGGGTAACTGCTGAAATTCATGTTGGAAGTAGAAGGGTTGCAAATGTTTTTAGATACTGTGAGGTTTGGGTTTTTCACAAAGCCTTTTTATTTTCAATACTTTGTTAACATATCAGTATTGTGCTATACCAATAAAGTATTCTTAATATTGTGATATTACAATTACTGATACCAATTACCAATGTGTTAAAAAACATTGTAATTCTTCTCTCCAGTCAAGATCAATTCTTGTAATTGAATAATTCAGTTTATAGAATAAACTATCACTGAAACAGTTCATTTTTGTGTCCAGATTTATGCTGAAACTGGTTGGATGAGTGTGCCTTATTTAAAAAGTCAGTCAGAGCTGCACCCAGTTCACACAGCACCAGCCCCTCACTGATCCTTCTGCAGGTGGTGAGTGCACAGGAGCCTTGATCTTTCAGCGGGGGAAAGTGGGGTTAAGTGTCTTGCCCAAGAACACAACGGCAGCAGACATCTATGACTTCTCAATTAAAAAAAGAATCTGCTTTGCTCTGGTTGATATAATAAAAATAGATTTTCTCAAACATGACACTGTAGCAGCAGCAGATGAAGTGACGGTATAGTGTTAGTCACTTCTATTAATATCATATCTCCAAGCAACACACAACATATGTTTTTTAGATTTTTTTTAATTGAATACATGACAAAAGTATCTGAAATTAGAAAACATTTTTATCAGATCTATCTCCTGATAATAATTTCCGAAGTTACCTAAATATGTCTATTTCTCGGAAGGAGGATGTTTCCACTCTGCTTTTCAATCGCTTCATTGTCTATTCATGTTTTCAAGTATTCAAGTATTGTGTTCTTGCTGCAGGACATTTTTGGACATTATTGCATTTCCTGAATTTATTATTTCCTGTGTTGTTAGTCAAATCAATTGTTTAACTAGAAGATCCTACTGCCCACATTTCTAAGCTGTTCTAAGTTAGGTTTATTCTAAATGAAGATATCTTGATGAGACAGATCTTGTTGCATCTTGTTGAATTGCAAAAACACAAAATAAGGTGGCGATCGTGCTGGAGTAACTCACCTTTGGTTTTGTTTCATACATTTTGTATGTCCCTATACTTTTGTGAACAAATCAGATCACAGCATGCTGTCTTTATCTCATCAGAAAACGTCTGAACTCTTTCATGAGAACTGATCAGTCGAGTAAGGGCTGGTTCTTTTTCACAAGGAAGGCGATGTGGCAGATGGCGTGAAGATGTGACAGAAGGCAAACAAACATACAAGCGAAAGCTAGTGCTAGAACCAAACTATTGGGAGCGAGGAAATACTTACATAGATTTTATTACATTGATCATTTTTTGTTGTTTCAAAATCCAGATTAAAATATATTCCTTAAATCGGAACACGTGTCATAAGGGTCCGTGTACTTTAAAAAAACATTTCTACAATTAACACAGTACAACAACAAAGAAAACAGGGTGGATTTAAGTGGAAAATATGTTTCTAAAACATGTTTATTGCTTTGCTGCGGTAAAGTTATAGTTTTAAATTGGATATTCGCCACATTCAACACATTCAAAAAATCTATTTAGCCCTTTGCCCTTTTGACCTTTTGATTTCAAAATGCTTTGGGTTTTTGCCTACTGGTCCCGCACACATGAAACAAAACATATTTTTTCAATATACCCTTTGTTGAATTTTTTTTTTTTTTCTACGCGACCAGCAGGCATAAACCCAACGCTTTTTGAAATCAATAGGTCAAAGGCTTAAATGGCTAAATAGATTTGATTAAATTTGATGGTAAAAAAGAATGGAAAATCATAAACAAATCAACAAAGGGTATATTGAAAAAAGATGCTTTGTTTCATGTGTGCGGGACCAGTAGGCAAAAACCCAACACCCAATATAAAACTAACTTTACTGCAGTTATTGCTTTTGGGTGATTGGAAGGATTAGTATATTGCTTATATAGATTAATTTCATGTTGAAATATGTTGAAGAGGGATTTACCATGGTATAATTTGATTCATGATGGTATCACGTGACACTGATGCGTCATTTACAGTAAACAGCAGCCGCGTGGGTTTGTGGGTGTGTTCCAAGGATCTGGGCGCGTCCCCTTCCATAGACTGAATAATTTCTTCCGCAATGCCAGCGCCTCTGCACAGCTGTCAGTCCTCCTGGTGCTGCTGGTGCTGCTCACTGCTGCATTTGGGATCCACACAGAGGTAGCAGCTTTTTCAATACTCCATTTCGCGTTTTATTAGCCACACTCTTCTGCTATTATAGTCCTTTACAAACATGTTAGTGTTTGTGTTAAAATTACACACTTTAACATTCTACTACATGTATGGACATTTATCAACATGATGGACATTGGTCTCTCCCTATGGACCAAATCATATGTGTATTTTTTGTGCCTTAACTGTTGATTATCTGATCTGTGTTGGTGATTTCAATGGTTTGTTAAGTCCTCTGAGATTACTGTTGTGATTTAGGGCAAGAATTAGTTGTTGTTGTTGTTAAAATCAGCTTTGAAAGTTTGGTCTATAGTTGCAAAATGTCTGTTACTAAGTAAATTTGCCAATGGCAAGTGTACTGTAGCGACTCTAGTGCCTTTTGCCGCTGCAGAGGAGAAACCGGGTTCGTCTGTTGTATGACGCGCTGCTTGGCTGTCACAGAGCACACTTTGTCAGGGATTAAGTTTGATGGCGTTTTAATGAAAAGAAACACGGATGAGGTGATAACATAACGTAGACGTCTTGATATTGAACGAAACAGTGAGAAAACGAAGGTACAAAAGAAACAAACACAAGCGAACGGTCAACAAAAACTACAGCGACCCAGCCCCCCTCTCTACTACTGATTTCATTCATAAAACAGAGTAGACACCGCCCCAGTAACCACGTGACCCACACCCGGCAGATCACCCAATCAAATCACAGCCCACTGTTATATTCAATTTATGGCTCCTACAACAAGTTCGACTTTACACAAAACACAGTCAAGATTATACTTTTTTTTTCATAATTAGCATAATATTATGCATCCATGGCATGGATCTATTATGGTCGTATCTTTATATTTGGATTTTCACTTCCATCCATCCATTTTCTACCCTTTAATCCATTTCTGGGTCAGGGGGGTGGCAATCAGAGATGCCACCCAAGTCTCATAGCACCAGCCCCTCACTGACCCTCTGCAGGTGGTGAGTCCACAGGAGGACGGCTGCTCTCTGAGTGTGAGCATAGCCTTGATCTTTCAGTGGGGGGTAAGTGGGGGTTAAGTGTCTTGCCCAAGGACACAACGACAGCAGTCATCAGTGGGAGTCGGTGGAGAAGGTGGAAATTGAACCCACGACCTTCAGGCCTGAAGGCCAATGCTCTACCAACTGAGCTACTGTCGCCCTGATTTTCACTCCAATCCAATCCAATCCAATTTATTTATAACGCACTAATAAAAACAACACAGTTGACCAAAGTGCCGTACAAAAATAAAAATATAAAAAACAATCAAATATACACATATACAGTGGCATAAGTGGACGATTTGAACAGTAAAAGTCAACTTCCAAACTAGTTAAAAGCCAAAGAGAACAAATGCGTCTTAAGGCGTGATTTAAAAACAGGAAGGGAGTCAGCCTGTCTAATGCACAGAGGCAGCTCATTCCACAGTTTGGGACCAACCACAGAAAAAGCTCCCTTTACTCCCTTGTTGTAAATTATGACATCAAAGGGCGGAGGTATTGTATATTTATGAACATTATGCGTATGTATCAAGCGTATGGATATGATGAACATGATGCTCCTATCTTATCACAGTTTTGAGTCTACAATTATATTATTGTATTCATGATGCATCAAATTTTCAAATTGTTTTCATTGTTTACAAAAAAGGTATGTCATCTAGACAATCATAAAAACCTGCCATACTTAATCCCTTTCTACACCAGCCTTCTTCCCCCCCCCCCCCCTCTAAGTTCTAACCATCTCTGCATGATCAAAGTCTGTGTACATTTTTCTTTGTAAAAATAATGGAGGGTATAGCTGGTGTCATGGGATTGGATCTATTATAGTGCAGAATCGCTAACTGTAGTTTTAACAATCCTCCTTTACAGCTGAGTAAAATGTATATGGAATTTATATTTAGGAGCCGGTACCAAAAGCCCCAGCCATAAGTCATGTAAACTCTATTCGCAAATTTTTAGACTTTATTTTGTTTTCTGAGTGTGGAGTTCATACTGGTCCAAAATAATCCCAAACTGTTTGATTTGACAACTGTACAGCACATTGGTGTAGTAAGGGATACAGGTCAATTTGAAGTTAACATGTATTTCTTGTTCCAGTTTTCTGCTTCACACCAAGTAAAAAAGAAACAAACGAAATGGAGAGGTGTTTCTGTGGATTGATGACGCCAGAGAGACAAACAGGTAGATAGCTTGGAATGAATTGCTGGTAGGAAAGTCAATTGATATAAAGTTTGTATTTAATAGTGTGGCTGAAAAGTGGCATCTTGAGCGTAGAGTATGAATTTTTTTTTTTTTTTCAAACATGTATTTATTGAAATTTTACAGTTTTTTATATGAACACAAGGCACTTTCACAACATGGATGGGGTGTCTACACAAGTATTGGATAAAGTAAATATACACAAATAATGAAATCAAATGAAAATACAATATACTTAGTCTGCATCAGTCCAACCATCAACTGAGATATTGTTATTCCTAAGAAAACCATAGAAGATATTCCACATTTGTAGAAAATTGTCGAGTTTGTTTTTACTGACCCAGCTTATTTTTTCTAAAGCTAAATACAAAACCATGCCTTTCAACCACTGTGCAACAGTGCTCGGAGTGTCTGATTTCCATGAAGTAGCGATACAGCGCTTGGCTTCCAAAAAACAAATGTTCAATAAAGACAACGTTTTTTGAGGTCACAAAGCCCTCGGGGTACAAATTCAACAAACACATTTTAGGGTCTGCAGGAACGTTCTTGCCCACAACCCCACTCACAAAAGACAAAACATTCTTCCAGAATGAAAAAATATGCGGGCAATCCCACATACAATGGAACAAAGTGCCCTTTTGGTCCTTACATTTCAAGCATGTGTCTGGAATATTGGGATTAAAATGGTTTAATTTAACCGGGGTGATGTACCATCTACTTAACCATTTATACTGTAACAGTTTGGAGTTCACATTTATAGATTGAGACTGGGATAATATGCAACATTTTGACCACTGTTCCTCTGTAATATCTTGTTGCAGATCTCGTTCCCAAGCCCGGCGAAAGCGTTGAGATGATTCTGTAGATTTATTTTCAAAGAGAGTGTAAAATAGTGAAACCTGCCCTTTAGAGTGTAAGAATTTTAAAATGCATTCTTCCAATGTGGACAGGGTTGGGATTGACAGACATTGTTTTCGCTTGGACAGAATAAAACTGCGGAGCTGCAAATATTTAAAGAAATGCTTTGAAGGGATGTTAAATGTGGATTTCAAATCTTCGAAAGACATGAGGGTCTTGTTTTCATCATACAAGTCCGCAATTTTCTCTAGACCTAATGTTGCCCAGATTTTAAACCCGGGGTCTGCCTTGCCAGGGGTGAATTCCTCATTTCCAAATATTGGAGAAAATTGAGAAAGATCAGCTCTTTCCCCCAAATAAGTCAAGACAGTGCCCCAAACCAACAATGTATTCCGGAGGAAAGGATTTTTTGTATTCTTAAGTAATGTGCGCTGATTGGCAGAGAAAATGTATAAGTTTGGAGGAATACTGATCAAATGTGTTTCCATTGAAACCCAAGCAGGGAGGTGGTCTCTTTGAAAATAAAACATACATGCTCTTATTTGTGCTGCCCAGTAATACCATTCGAGGTTAGGCAATTTTAAACCACCTCTGTCATAAGGTAAATACAGTAGAGAGAGTCTAATCCTGGGGCGCTTTTTGTTCCATATAAAAGCAGAGAAGAGTCTATTAATTATTCTGAAAAAGTATGGCGGGGGAGCAAGAGGAATACATTGAAATAAATATAAATACTTGGGCAATATATTCATTTTTAGTATATTTATGCGGCCAATCATCGAGATGGGTAAATTGTTCCACCTGTTTATTGATTGTACAACCTTTTCATCAAGGTCCTTGTAGTTTTTTGAGACAACCTCATCAATGGTAGGAGTAATTCTGACACCGAGGTAGGTGAAGCCACTAACGCAGACCTCAAAGGGGACATGAAGGGGAGGATTCATTCGTTCAAATTTGTCCAAGAATAATATAACGGATTTTGAGTTGTTTATCTTATACCCTGAAAAACTACCAAAATATTCTACTAATTGTAGCAAAGCAGGTATTGATGTTTTAAGGTTAGAGCAGAACAATACAACATCATCGGCATACAAGCCAATGCGGTGCTCGTTATCTCCTATTGAAATTCCCCTTAGACATGCGTTATTACGGATCGCAATTGCAAGAGGCTCAATTGCTAATGTGAATAGTAACGGAGACAGGGGGCAACCCTGTCTCGTCCCTCTATACAACTTAAAAGGAGTGGATACATGCCCGTTTGTAAGTACAATAGCCTGGGGGTCTGCATAAAGCAATTTAACCCAGTCCAAAAATGACTTTTTTATCCCAAATCGTTGAAGAACTTCAAATAAGAAGTGCCATTCAACCTTATCAAAAGCCTTCTCGGCATCTAACGACAAAATTGCAGTGTCTTTGCAACCAGAATTCTCAAATATAACGTTCAGTACCCGTCGAATGTTGTGAAAACCATGCCGTCCCTGAACAAAGCCATTTTGATCGGTATGTACCATTTGTGGTATCAGTTTCTCTAAACGCCTAGCCAAAGCTTTGCAAAGAATTTTTAAGTCATTGTTTAAGAGGGATATTGGTCTATAAGATCCACACAAAGTCGCGGACTTGCCTGGTTTTAACAGTAGTGTAATAATGGCTGTGTTCAGCGAAGGAGGCAGAGTTCCATTATTTAAAGACTCTTTGTACATGTCAAGCATGGGTTGCATTAATAAGTTGTGAAAAGATTTATATATTTCAATGGGAATTCCATCTGGCCCTGGTGTTTTGGACCCCTTCATGCTTCTAACGGCTGTCGCCAATTCATTGGTACTAATTTCCAAATTTATGTCAGCCAATAAATTATCTTCTAGAGGAGTGATGTTCAATGAATCTAAGAATTGTTTCTGGTTGTCCAATGCATGAGGAGAGACTTCTGATATGTATAAATTCTCATAAAATGTTTTAAAAGTGTTATTTATTTCTTTGAAGTTACTAGTCTCAGAGCCTCCATTAGTTTCTATAGTGTTTATGGTTCTTTCGGATTCTGATTGTTTAATACGCCATGCCAACAATTTACTGGCTCTTTCTCCTTGTTCATAGTAGGACTGCTTTAACCTCAGAAGGCTTTTGGTCGCTTTATTTACTGAAAGCACATTGTATTTAGCTCTTATTTCAAGTAGTTCTTTAAATGTTTGCTCTGAGGGGTTCGTAAAATGTCTTAATTGAGTTTGATTTAATTTAGATTCCAATTGCTCCATTTCTGACCTCCAAGATTTATGTTTGGAGCTTGTATAGCTTATCATATGGCCTCTTAAAAATGCTTTGAATGCTTCCCATCGAATAGAAGCTGATGTTTGATCAGTATTGTTAACAAAAAAATCTGAAATTTGTGCCCCAATATATTCCATAAACCCTGGATCCTTCAACCAGAAAGGCTGCAAACGCCATCTCGGGGGCGAAGACTGTGGTAGCAGCTTTAAACTAAAAGATACTGATGCATGATCTGAGATGACAATACTATCATACCAGGCCTTAGAAACGGAAGATAAAAGGGATGCTGAAACCAAAAAGTAGTCGATCCTAGAAAATGTTTGGGCAGTAGCAGAGAAGCACGAAAAGGTTGATTGATTAGAGTGGAATTTTCTCCAAATGTCTGTCAAATTGAGTTCACTAATGTGATAAAGTAGCTCTTTCCTGGTTTGGATATGTGAAGCGTCCCTTCCAGTTGATCTATCAATTTCCGGTTGAAGAACACAATTAAAGTCTCCACCTACAACACAGGCACCAGGCAAGTCTGCCATAGACAGGAACAAATTCCTGAAAAATGCCGGATTATCAATGTTGGGGCCATATAAATTAATTAAGTTCAATCTGATAGAGTTAATTTCACATTGTATAATAAGGAATCTCCCTAGTCTGTCTGCTTCTACATTTATCAGACGAAAGGGCACTGAACGATGCACTAGTTATTACCCCACCGAGACTTAGAACTGAAAGAAGCTGAAAAAATATGACCAGTCCATCTCCTTCTCACCTTCACTAGATCCTCTGGGATCAGATGAGTCTCTTGCAAAAACACAATCTTAGCTTTCAAGTCCTTAATTCTGCTCATTACTTGCTTAAGTTTCACTAATTTGTTAAGACCCCTCACATTCCAGGATGTGAACTGTAGTTCAGAAGACATGGTAATGAATTATAATATTGAGACTACACAACATATGGGTAACAAGTATTATTAAGTGTGTATATTATAGAATAAGGTAAAACACAAATAGGATTAAAAAAAACAAAAGCAAACCACCACAACATAAAGTGCCTATAACCTGAACATAACAAGATGTATTTCCCCAAATGAAATACACAATCCCCTCCCAAAATCTACACTTCCAAAAGACTCCCCGAAGGTTGAGTCTAGCTATGAGGCTAAGCCGGTCCACACGTGTGAGGAACAGCATACTCAAATGGTCAAAACAAGGCCCGGTGCAAAAAATAAATAAAAAATAAACAAAATATAATAGTAATGATTAATAATAAATGATACACACTTTCTTTCACAATCAGAACATACATTAGTAAAACACAAACAGCTAAACAAAATAGTTCCAGATCTAACACACTGCCTGCTTCTAGACAGTATCAAAACAGTGTTCGTAGTCACATGAAGCAGAAAGGATAAAAGTCACCTGCAGTTATTTAAGTATTGATGAGGAAGATTGTAGCGCTACTCCGCGTCCTCCGCTGACGTCCCGCTCCTCTCCTGCCTCAGCCTTCGCACAAAAGTCTCAGCTGCCTCCGCTTTTTCAAACGTGTGGCGTCTTCCCCTGATAGTCACAAGCAGTGTAGCTGGATGGACTAACCCGTAGCGCAGATCCTGAAGTTTTAGACCAGCTAGGTCCCTCTTCACGGCATCAAACAGCTTTCTCTTCTTAAGTAACTCGGAGGATAGATCCGGGAAAAACATAACTTTTCTTCCATCTACGAGCACGTTGCCTGCGCTTCGGGCTGCATTCATAATACGGACCTTGTCAGCGTAGTTGAGGAGCTTCATAACCACTGCTCTGGGTCGCACGGTGGGATCTTGTGATCCCGAAGCAGTACCGTTATTCCACATTCGGCCAACTCTGTGTGCCCTTTCAATCACCAGAGGTTGTGGAAAGTTGCGTTCCCCGAGCGTCGTTGGAATCCATCTCTCCAAAAAAACACACATATCCAATCCTTCTTTTGACTCTGGGAGGCCAACCAGTCGTATATTCGAGCGGCGAGCACGGTTTTCCAGGTCATCCACTTTACGCAGGAGCTCCTCCACTCTGGCTGTAGTCAAGCTAGTTTGGGCTCCCATGCGGGACAGCTCGTCTTCATTTGAACTTATTCTCCGTTCAGCTTCAGTTGTCCGATTCGTCAGTGCTGTCAAATCTTCTTGCACTTTGTTAACAGCCCCCAGTAAACCGTCCAATTTTGACGCAAAGTATTCTTTCATTGACGAGAATTCACTACTTAGAGAGCTGATAGCGGCTAGTATCTCACACGAGCTATCGCTAGCCTTCTCATTGCCAGCCTCAATGCTACTTAGCTCCCCCGCTAGCTCAACAGCGCACGGGGAATTACCCCCGGGTTTAGAAGATTTCCCGGTCTTCCCGGCATTCAGTTTAGGTGGCATTCTGGTTCCTTGCGTTGTTCAAAGATGTTACTGCTGTTTAGTCCATAGTACTGAGTGTCTGATTGTTATTAGTTAAAAAGTTACACCTGAGCCTCGGACGCACGTGCTGTTAGGAGCGCACCATAACCGGAAGTCGTAGAGTAGGAATTGGTATGAATAATATTTATTGCTGTTGACTTAAAAAACAGAACACATTGATCAACATTTGCTATTCCAAAGGGTCCAACTGTAATGTATTACACATATCTTAATATAGAGCTACATTTGTCAAACTGTTTTTTGTACTACCTTTGACAGCATTCATATTCTCTGAGAAAGTAATGTGATGAAATCTCATAATTTGGTCGTCTGAACCCTAATGTAATGTGTGTTGGTGTCAGTGCCTCTGCAGAGCGTGGATGTGCAGGTGGATGTGAAGGACCATGTTGCTACGGTGGTCTCAACTCTGCTCTACCAAAATAAAGAGGAGAAACCCATCGAGGCCGTGTTTGTCTTTCCCATGTCCAGTGAGGCTGCCGTCTGCCATTTCAGTGCCAAAGTTGGACAGACACTTATTGTGGCTGAGGTGAAGGAGAAGAAACAGGTAAGAAAAGATGGTAAAAGATGTGTGACATTTTGTGTACAGTAGTTGAATAAAAGTATAACCGTCAAACCTTTGCTCTGATTAAACCTGTTCCAGGCTCGTGAGGAATACGATGATGCGCTGAGCTCCGGTCAACAGGCCTTTCTATTGGAGGAGAGTGACCAGAGCCCAGATATATTCTCTATGAGTGTTGGCAGCCTGCCCCCAGGAGAGAGTGCGTCCATCCGGCTGGAGTATGTCACTGAGCTGGATGTGCAGGCTGATGACGCGCTGAGGTTTTGTCTTCCAGCGGTTCTCAACCCGCGGTACCAACCTGCAGGTGAGACTTCAGTCCTCCAACACAACAAAGTAGAAAAAGATGACAGTTATACAGCAGTGTTACTCTGTCGGTAAATGAAATTAAATACTTCAAAACCGTTCTTCTCAAAGTGGAATGTGCGGCCGCAGAAAAAAGTTGCATGATGACCCAGAAATATTATGCTTTTTGGAAACCGCGCATGTAGTGATGCTTTATTTTGAGGACATTTCTGAGATTCTTGATGTTGAGTGCTTGATATTTTTATTTTATTTGAAATGACGGATTCTGCTCAACAAGATTTTCTCTGGAATTAAGATCTTATGAGAGTATGACAAGATTGGGTCAATAATTGGTAAAAGAAAATCTATTTGTAATCCAATCATCACATTGAATGTCACTCCTCTTTTAGTCATAAAGTTCAAATAAAGAAATACAAATTGTTTTTCTTAATGTTGATAATGATTATAGATCATGGTTTTCACAGGAACAGAAGGCAGCAGTGTGAAAGTGACATCAGTCCCATCATCTTCTGTGCCTTATGATCTTACCTTCTCTGCCCGAATGGAGTCACTGCGACCAGTTTCCAAAGTTGAATCTAGCTGCACCATGGAGCCAGTCAATTACCTCAACGAAAATCACACCAAGGCCTCGGTAAATCTCAGCTATGACCAATTAAAGTCTTTGTAGATAAAAAAAGCTCTTGAAATATAATAATAGAAGATGTTAACACTAGACATTCTTTAATTATTTTAAGTAAAACGAAGTAAGAATGCTATGCATGTATGTATGTAAGAATGCTTATTATTCTTTTTAAATACACTGTCAAAGATGTGGGTCACAAGTACTACAGTTTTTAATGAACAATTTAAAAATTGTGAATGAAATTTACAGCATAAGTTGTCTGTAGGTGAAGCTGGCAGCAGGACATAAGTTTGACCGAGATGTGGAGCTGCTCATTTATTACTCTGACAGTCACCAACCATCAGCCGTAGTGGAGGCTGCTCAGGGCTCAGCCAAACCTGGTAAGGATACATTCAATAGTGGGCTGCCATCTAGAGGCAGAGTCCATATTTGAATATTTGAGTTAATATTATTGATATTGACTTCTAAAGGATCACGTTTTAAGTGCGCTGTAGAGCTGTAAGATGATGGTCAATGTTTCCAGTGATCTTCCAACTTTTAAGGTCATTTTAAAAAAGGCACATTGTGCTTCTGCCTGATATATAGTGGTGATTATAAGAAATTCAAGAGAAGATCTTGTGGACAGTGTGTACTTACCTTACCTAAATCCACTGTAACTTATTCATTATGGACATTTCAATAGAAGTGTCCAAAGTCTGGAAAAGATCCCTGGTGTCCATAAATTAATGTCCTCTTGATGATAGGAATTCTGAAATATTTAGGTTTTAGTTTGATTCCGTATTCGCCACCGTAGGTCTATGCATGCTTCCCCATTGCCTGCTCATAAAATAGGGCCACTGATGATATTATATTTTGTCTATATGTCTATTTTTGAATGGTTAAGAAAGCTGCCCTTTTATTTCAGGCTCTTTGATGGGAGACCCAGCGCTTATGTTGAGCCTGTACCCAGAGTTTCCCAAAGACATAATGTCATCGGTATCGTCCACTGGAGAGTTTGTGTTTCTGTTGGATCGATCTGGAAGCATGGACTGTAATATGAGTAATATGGGAACATCAGTGTCTCGGATTGCCAGTGCACGGGTTAGCAAGCCAAGTGAGTTGTTTTTAGTAACTCTTTGAACTTTTCTCCTGATACTGTTTTTATTTTCTCAGGACACTCTACTGCTGCTGCTCAAGAGTTTACCCATGGGCTGCTTCTTTAACATCTACAGTTTTGGATCCACCTTTGAACAAATATTTCCGTAATTTGAAATATTGTAACATGTATTTTCAGCACTGCCTTAAGCAGTGACACGGATGCAAAATCATGCTTTGTTTGTGCTTCTTTTGTAGGGAAAGTGTGAAGTATCGTCAGAAAACAATGAAGAAAGCTCTGAAAAAAGTGGAAAACATGAAGGCTAACCTTGGAGGAACAGAGATCTTGGCACCGTTGAAATGCATTTACAGCCAGGCCTGCATCCCCAACCAGCCGAGACAGGTACATAGATAAAAACTTTATTGATCCAACTGGGAGAAATTCAAGTGCCCATTAGTAGCCAAAACAGACAACAGAAACAAAAGACGCACATAAATAGTAATAATCCTAAAATAGTAATAATCATAAAATAACCACAATCATAGTAAAAAGGGATAAAGGGTTTGTGAATGAGGCCATCGCTTTAAGCCTCTCTTTTGCAACATAAAAATTATCTTGAAGGATCTTGCCTCTAACCTCCTCATTGGTAACAGTTGTCTGCTTTACTTTTTGTTTTCTGAACAGTTAATGCAAAAGAAAATACACCACCGTACGCCTTCAGCTGCGGGAGAAACTACGGTGCAAAGCTAACTCATGTCACAAATGCACATTTAAAGATCATGGCTCCAGTTAGCATATGTTCAAAATGGCTTCTTCCGTATTCAGCACTCGGTTCGTCCACTTCTGATATAATATGGTCTATGAGTTTGTCCCATTTTAGTTTTGTGGTACAACAAATAAAAACGACATACACAAGTAAAAGGACACGATGTGTGAACAACAACAATCTTGGGAATACATATTTTTTATTATACTTTATTTTCAAAATACAAACTCAAAACACTCGAACACACCAATGCAGACCCACAAGCCTTGAGCAAACAACCAAAAAATGTACATACAAATCTGTACAACTCAAAGACTTAAAACTTAAAAAGTCATTGCCTTCAATTGGTCTAGAGCACCTGCTCAAACTGCTATGGGGCTTTGTTTAGTTCTGTGTATTGTCCACTACTGTTTAAGGTCCATTGTCAGTACATAGACAGATGAACACATGGCTCTGATGACATCGGGGGCTTTGGCACAGTTCACAGTTCATCCTATGCACGTGTGTGATAATAATTTGAGTTACTGTGATACACAATACAACACTCTTATTATATAGCCATCTCTTGCATAGTGATGTCACCTCAACTCAAACAAGCCTCCCCCGCCCACACGGTGACGTAGCCTCACACTGAGTGGTTTTTCTCCAAAGTAAACTCTTCAGATTCGCCGGTACGTAGTAATTTCACACCTGAGGATGAAAAAGGATGTAAAAAGATTTGTGTGTGCGTAGAAAGATTTGTGTGTGTGTAAAAAAAAAAAAAAAAAAAGAACGTTTTACGCAAGTTTTTTTTTTTACACACAAATCTTTTGACGCAGTCCTGCCTTTGCAGATTCGCAACTTGACTGTGTGCGTGCGTAAACAGATTTGTGTGTGTGTAATTTGACATTTGTAACGTGGTTACAGAACAATCTGTGTGTAAATAACCACGTTGTACGAAGAGAAGAACGGAAAAAAGCCTAAGTGCTACGCACAGGCTCTGTTTTACACACGAATCTCTTTTTGACACACCTCTGCCGCCAAGCTTGTGTCAAAAAGATTCATAGGTGTAATTTGGTTCTTCTAGCAGTACACCAGCAGATGGTGCTGTTGTAGCTGGTTATTACCTTCACGCAAGCAAACCAGCAGAGTTTGTGGCACTAAAGTGTAGATTTGTCAAGTTCAGGATGACAAGAGACTCTAAGGGTGTATTCAGACCTGAAAAGTCCTTTGCTCTGCTTGCTTGATCCGAATCAAAAGCGGACCAAACTATTTTCTTTTGCTCCGGTTCGTATTCAGGGCTTTGAATACACCAATTCCCACAAAATCCGACCTTTATGAAAGCTGTAGGTTCTCTGTCAGCTATTTTAGTTTACATTGAGTTCTATGGGGAAAATTTCTGTGTAGCCCACGTGAATTTAGTCTGCAATACGCGAGAATCCTTCAGCTCCAAGGTAGTAACACCCTATCTATCCAGTTATTATAATAGATCCATGTATCATACAGTGGTGTGAATGACAGGATTTTGAAATATAGAAAAAAAAACATCATAAACAGCTGCGGTTGTGTGTCTTGTCAAGGCAGTAGGTTTTGGTTTGCTTGCATGTAGGTAATAACCAGCTACAACAGCACCATCTGCTGGTGTACTGCTAGAACAACCACATCACACTTATGAATCTTTTTGACACACGTTAAGCGGCAGAGGTGTGTCAAAAAGATTTGTGTGTAAAACAGAGCCTTTGCGTAGCACTTAGGCTTTTTCCGTTCTTGTCTTCGTACAACGTGGTTATTTACTCACAGATTGTTCTGTTACAGATACAAATGTCAAATTACACACACACAACTCTTTCTACGCACACACAAATCTTTTTACGCACACACAAATCTTGATACGTACATACAAATCTATTTACACACGCACGAACCATTTTAAATACATCACATTGATGTATTGATGTTGAAATTATCATGATGTGGACCCGCGGGCGTTTCACTGCCTCTCGAGATTAAAAGGGAAAGGTCGCCCTCTAACTAAAGCTTGAAGGAATCAATGAAATGAATGAAAATGAATGAACTTTGAGCATGTGTATGAAAGCCAAATATCACTGTAATCATGTTTACAGTCGAGAAAAGTCAAAAAGCGTAATATGGCATCTTTAAGGAACACCATCTTGTCCCGGGATGGAAATTTGTGCTTGGCATTTCACCCATCCTTTTGCTACAAAAAAACTTCTTGGATTGTAACAGTCATGGCATGAAGAACTTCCAATTTGTTTTTTATCTTAAAATGACAAATACATTGAATATTGTGTCTTAGACTGATTTACTGCTTTGCTTTGTAGTTGTTTGTCTTTACTGATGGAGAAGTGGGAAACACCAAAGAAGTCACAAACCTGGTCATGTCTAATGCAGCCTCTCACAGGTAAAAACAGCAACTGTTGAACTGCTGTGATGTACAAGTCACACATCTTTACTTCTCCCAGATGTTTTTCCTTTGGGATCGGGGAAGGAGCCAGCACTGCTCTTATCAATGGTCTGGCAAAAGAAGGAGGAGGACACGCACAGTTCATCTTAGGCAACGACAGGATGCAGCCCAAAGTAAGATGATTTTGGGTTCCTCTTGAATATGAGTTATCACGATCAATGCCAGCGGTAACATTTTTTACATTTTAGAAAAATATCCTTTTACATTTTTATTTGGGAAATTTAATTTTCGGTTTATGTCGATTATCAATAGAGGAACTATTGATAAAATCATACTAATCACAATTCTCATTTTTATGTACAATTTATTATAGTATAAGATATCAATTTAATGTATAGTTTTTCCTTTTAAATTCCTGCACTGGTGTTTCACAAGAAATGTATTCCTACTTTTATATACTATACTCATTATATAAGCAACCTCTCTGCTACAACCAGGTGGAAAGACCTCATGAGCAGTAATTATCTGAATGAACCTTGTTTGACCTCAAGTGGATCACAACTAACCTCAGCCTAAAATGTAACATCTGGTTGACAAAAGTAATAATTTTGTTTAAATAAATTAAGGGGAAGAAAATGGATGGATGGATACATCCATCCATTTTCTTCCCCTTAATCCATTTCTTGGTCGGGGGGTGGCAGTCAGAGCTGAACCCAGTACACTCAGCACCAGCCCCTCACTGATCCTCCTGCAGGTGGTGAGTCCACAGGAGCTGAGATCTTTCAGTGGGAGCTTCAGGCAAAGTGGGGTTAAGTGTCTTTCCCAAGGACACAACGACAGCAGTCATCAGTGGGAGTCGTGAAGTAGGTATTACGGTGGGCTCAAACCCACGACCTTCAGGCCCAAAGGCCAATGCTCTACCAACTGAGCCACTGTCGCCCCCCTGTTGTTTAATAGTCATATTAATAGACTCCGCTCCCATCTCTGTGTGAGAGGACAAGTGCCCAAAAATAACTATTGTAAACCGCTTTGTGACTCTGGTCTGTGAAAGGCGGTATATAAATAAAGATTATGTAATGTAATGTTTATTTTTTATATACCGCCTTTCACAGACAAGGGTCACAAAGCGGTTTACAATTGTTATTATTTTTATGGGCATTTGTCCTCTCACTCCAGACAGAGATGGGAGCGGGGTCGCCGAACAGGAGGCGCATGCCATTACTTACTTACTTACTTATAATTAAGCTACGCTGTATATATGTACATTTACATTCATATTATTTTTTTTACTGCGTAGAAATAGTATAATAGTTGTATTAATGGTGTTTTCCCTCCAGAGAACTACAACTGGGTGGTCCCACACCTGCTTACTTTACTATATGACTGACGGAAGAGAAATATCATAAATTATTGATTTAAAATGTAAGGCTGTTCCCCTAGGCCTAGTGCCTCTGTGTTTAGTTTAACACTAATTATGCAACCAATTTAAAATATAACCTATTGAAATTTACATGCACAGCTACTCTTATAGCCATCCAATTAATGCCACCAAACCCAGCAGATTTAAATGTGTGTTATGGCACGAATATCATGCACCGGGCCAAAGTTCCATGTCTATAGATCATAGAAGGTAAATGGATTCAATAGGCACCCTGCTGGTCGAGGTCCTAAACTGCAGCCTATAGACCTAATGGTTCTAATAAGTTTTGGAGGATATTCAGACTGATCAACTGATCTGAATGAACAATATTGTGAAGAGAGTGTTTGGCATTACAGATCCAAAAAGGAAACTGAAAAAAGGAAACTTATCTCTCTTTCTTCTGCAGGTGATTCAGTCTTTGCGCTTCGCCATGCAGCCAGCAGTAGTTGACATCTCTGTGAACTGGGACCTTCCTAAAGGTGTCTCTGCCACTGTCCTGTCCCCTCCTCTCACATCCATTTTCCAGGGACAACGGTCACTGCTCTACGTCCAACTGACTGGAAAGGTGCTTTCATGTTTAGAGTTTAGGCTAATGTGTTTGCAGTATAGGCTAATGTGTGTAATGTGCTTTAGAGCAAAAAGGCAGCTGAGGGTTGTGTGACTGTCAAATACAGTCTGGCAGGACATCCCACTGAAAACAAACTCAACTTCAGCCTCCAACCAGTGGAGGACACAGGGTAAGACACAGACCAATGCTCCATGTTTAAGCACACAGTCACAGGCTGTTTTAAAGGTCCCTTATTTTATTAGGAACCCTTTTCAGTTCCTGGTTTTTAGAAATTAGGAGAAAGTATTTTGGTGACCCGTGTACAACACTGACCTTGTGATCGTCTTTATTTAAAATAATAATATATAACTCCTGAATATCTGATACATGGGGGTTCTTCTTCATCTGCAGACTCACAGTACACAGGCTGGCAGCACGATCGCTCATCTGATCTTTGGAGCAAGAAAAGGAGGACACCAGTCACAAGAAAGTTGACGCTGCGAAGAAGAAAGTAATTGACCTCAGTGTTCAATCTGGAGTCAGCAGTTCTTTCACCGCTTTCATTGCTGTGAACAAAACCAGTGGAGAGGCCATTCAAGGTCCCCTGCTGAGAAGAAATGTCCCTCTTCCAGGTTGGTATCCAAACTAAAATGAGAGAATTATGAAATTTACACTGATGTTGATCTCTCAATTGTCTCCTTCACAGAGATGGCCTGGAGCAAGCATCTGCCCATGCCTCTGCCCATGCCTCTGCCCATGCCCATGCCTCTGCCCATGCCTCTGCGCAATGTCCAAATGTGTTTCAGTGCGTGTAAGACTAGTGTACATCCCATTATGCAAGAACCCATGTATTGCGGCGTAAAATGTCCAAACTGTAGGCAATACGCAGCGGCAGGCTAGACACGGACTATGTTGCTGACGCGTAGATTCATTCGCATGCATGCAGATAGGGACTTACTTGATGTTCAGTAGACTAGACTCCAATAATAATTCACAGGTGGAACTCGCTCCGCGACCAACCATTAGCAATCATTCCTGTCAGGAATGAAACATAATCAAAACGAAACGATGCATCTTTACTCTGGCATCTTTTAAGATTCACCATTCGCTGTTCTGCAACTCTCCTATTGTTAGGCATATTGAGGTGTCGATATCTCACTGGCACTCCAATACTGTAGTGGCCATCCACCAGCTTAACAGACTCTGAAACAGATTTCAAAAACTGTTCATCCTCTTTGTAGAGTGCCAGCTCTTCTTGTTGCCTTTCGGGGAAACCAAACTTTAGCTGCTGTTCCCAAAGACTGTCTAATCTCGCCACAGAGATACGCAATCCTATTCTCTACAGGTGCTATTGTAGTGGCAAAACTACCTTTGGGTTTAGTTCCTGACTTAACATATTTAAACTTCTTTCTTACTGCTCCTAGAGATTCCTGAATGTCTCCAAACAAAGGGTCACTTGCAATCTTGACTTACTTCTCCACAAAATACACAATATCATGAAAAGTGGCTCTGCGATTAAACCGTTCTTGCAGCTCACAAGCCGCATTTCTCCAACGGTCCCTAAGCTTATAGGGCAGCTTCTTTTACGATAGTTTGCATGCTTGTGGGAACATTCAAATCGCCCACACCCATGGAATTGCAGCATTCACGCAGCAAAAAAACTGTAGGCCTGAAGCGCTTTAAGGTCTTCGCCTTTCACTATGGCAAGACACTTAATTCCATTTTGCCTGAAGCCCCCACTGACAGATCAAGGCTACGATGTCACTCACAGAACATATATCCTCCTGTGGACTCACGACCTACAGGAGAATCAGTAAGGTTGGGTGCAACTCTGACTGCCACCCCCTGACTCAGGCAATGCAGGGTTAAGTGTCTTGCCCAAGGACACAACGACAGCAGTCATCAGTGGGAGTCGGTGGAGAAGGTCCCGTGGTGGGCTTGAACCCTCGACCTTCAGGCTCAAAGGCCAGTTCTCTACCAACTGAGCTACTGTCGCCCCTTACCATTTTCCATTTAAATGTGTGGGCTTGTTTGTCAGCGCCCCCTGACAAACAGGGGATGCTAAATGGCCAATTTGATATTTCACCCCTTCAGGTGACCTAGGCCCAGGACAAATCAGACTTTGCATGTAAGTATTATGCAAGTAAGTATTTATGATCTCAAGAAGAAAGAAACCAATTGGACAAGAGTTTGCCACATGATGTTATTGCAAAGTGAGTCTCTGGTGAGGAGGGTGGTCTTTCTCTGCCTTCTCTGCCGCCCTTTTCCTTATGTACCACCAGACAATTTTAATGTTTTCTGTGAACCTATACAAAAATAATAATAACGTATTCTTATGAGTAATTATGTCTCCCCAGGTCCTCTTCGTGTAGACTCAAGACGTAAGTGATTTCATGTGTGGTTTCTTTTAAATGTTTGCTCTACCATTTACCATTTCTTTAAAAAAAAAAAAAAAAAAAATTATGTTTTTGTTTGTTTGAATAATCAGACAGAATACAACACATACACTGATATAACTAAATATAACAAACACAAAGTATGGGGGGTTTGCATTTGTTCAATATTGCATGGCATTTCTATGCTTTACTGTTTTCTTATTAAAGTGATAGTATGCAGTTTGTCAGAAAAAGAGAGAGAGGAACATGATTTGAAAAAAAAACCGACCCAAGCTCCCTCCCCCTCCTTTCTGATTGGTCTTGAAGCCGCGCCTACTTTCCCGTGCACGCGCCAGGTCAAAGGTGCGGAGGAGAGAGAGAAACCGTTGTCAATAATGGAGTTATCGGAGGTGAGGATGCATTTTTGTTTTGAAATTATTTTTCATGGAGATAACAAGTTTATGTAACTAACTTTGTACTAATACTCTAAACTGGCATGTCCTGTAAATATGTAGTGTTTTCAATCGATTTACATTGTTTATAGCTTGCAATGTTGTTATTACTCATTTGCTATGCTAACAGCTAGCGTAGGATTTACGTATTGTCCGGTCTTTTTAGTGTGTACACCTCTTTAGATGTGGGCCAGATTGTTTTCAATTATTTAAATTTTTGTCATCTTCAGAGCTCTTTTATGAGTGGATCATCTGGTGAGGAATATATTCCCCCTGCAGCATCATCATCAAGGAGAAGCGCTCCAAAACGAAAACGTGCTTCTACCTCTCAAGGTCGAGGAGGGGGTTGGGGGCAAGGCCCGAGTCATGCAGGAGTAGCTGCTGTAAACCTGAGTGACGAGGATTTAGCCCGTGCTCAGGAGCAAAGAACACAGAGGCTAATCGTCGAACATGATGTTGAATATATTCCTCCTGTAGCAACATCTTCACTAAGCAGTAGCGCCCCGAAAAGAAAACGGGCATCTACCTCTCAAGGCCGTGGAAGGGGTCGGGGGCAAGGCCCGAGGCATGCTGGATACGCTGCTGTAAACCTGTATGAGGATGATTTAGCCCGTGTTCAGGAGCTTATAACACAGAGGCGAAACTTTGAACGTGTAAGTCCCTTGAGAAGTCTAACCATATACATAATTTGCATTAAATCATTGCAACATGCTTTCTTTTTATACAGGCACTCATACAGAATCTGTCTCCGGAACAATGTAGGGACGTGCTGACAAAGGCGGTAGATGGAGACCCAGGTGTTCTTTTCGACATAATCACTAACAATGCACCTCCCGAAAGAAACATCCACTGAAAATCCGCCACCTTGGTGCAGATGTGCACACTGCCGAGAGATGCCAACTGATGTCGAGAAAAAACGCTGCTTGCATCCTCCAGAACTATGCATATCAACTGTAGCACATGTAGAGACATATATAATCCAGAGAGGAGTCTTGCGCTTAGCCCGACGACTCTGGAATGAGTTTCGTGCAATGGTTGATGGATCTGACCCTGGAGAAGACAACCGTCAGTTTCGCCATGCTGCCTACCGGCAGTATGTTGCTTGGCAGCATGGAAGACTAGGTGCTGGACGGCGTGTGGTCATTCCAAGCTGTATGGTGTGGAGAATTAGAGACACATTTCCAGATCCTAACGGGAACTACACTGGGTTCATACCAAGACGATTATAGTTTACATTAGCACTTTTTGTTCACATTGTTGCATTGCTGTTTTCACATGTTCTTTTTGATTTGATAAATAAAAAATATTTCATTACAATACTGTGTAATTACAAAGCTCAACTGCAAATTGCCTGAAAATAACAAATATACAATTGGTTACAGATATAATAAACGGTCAACCACTTTCCATGAAAAACTTTATTTACAAAAACACTATTTACACACAATATAAAAAAAAAAAGTTTAGATTTTATTTCTGAGGCAATCGTTGACCTGTAACAAAACCAGTATATGATATGGATAAAATGATGAATACAAATTCTACATTCAGCATTGTGAGAAGAATAAATTAGTCAATACCATCTCCTCGGGTGCGCTGGTGTTCTAGTAACTCCTGTGTTGTTGGGGCAGGGATAGTTGACAGCAAACCCAATCTCCTTGGGTCCATGGCTCTGTATTTTCTTTGACGTGGGAGTCCTTTTTGGCTGTTCACTCGTGCTGTAACGACCATTGTCTGGAGTTCCGGGATATATGCATAGTCCTTCTCAACTTTGATTGCATAAATCCTCCAGCACCTAGACTTTTTATTGAATACTTTTCTGTATCTAAAATAGAGACATAAAGATGGCACAAAAGTAAAATCATAGAAAAGCAATAAGCATGCATAGTTTATAAAGTGTGAACATACTGTATGGCTCCATCTGCATTCCTTTTAGCAGGTCTATGTACATGGTGATTGTAATCAAGGGCAGCAAGTTGCATTCTCATGTCCATGATGGGCGGGTCGTAACTAAATCTTTTGCTGGCATACATAAGAAGGTGGCTGTGGAATGCTTCCAGGCGTGCGGTTGATCTACAAATAAATTACAGTTTAATTTGATCTCTTCCGTATTTATATATATTGTAAAAACAATACCTGAACTTCAGATACTTTGGTACTTCTTTTAACCAACGTTCTTTCAGAATGATCTCACTTAGAACGTTGTGCGCCGTTGAACCTTTGACAAGCCACTCTTTCTCACGTTCACTTTCCAGTGGGTCATGTTGGCATGCATCTAGAGGCCACACATGTTCCCCAGTGACATGATGCAGCAAGCCCATCCACATGTTCTAACAAATGTTTGATATGTAATTCATGGTAAGTGCATTTGAATTGAACTTTCAAACATTACAAAATTGAGTTGCCAATCAATGGATGGCATTGCTGACTTGGCACCCATTATGCCGCTGTTGTTGTGATGGAATGCAATTTTATGCTATGTTATGTCATCACAAGCTTGATATTATAGTATTTGTATTTTGTAGATACTTACAAAAAACTCCTCATACGTGTTTGCTTTATTGCAGCAGAACCAGAAATGATTGCAAATATCTTTGTTCCACTGTAGTAATATGGAACATCCCTTTTGCTGGCCAGCCTACAAAGAAAAGGGTCACAAATTCAATGCTTGTACAATGTCAATGCACAACAATCTTTCACAAAGCTCACTATTTTACTTACTGCATGTATCTTTTTGCCCAAGTTTTTTGCTCCGTGCCACATATCGTATGTGTGTTCCACACCACTGTCTTTGAATATGCCATTTCCTGTGTGAGTATTACAAATTAAATAAATAATGTAATTGCTTTATATAGGAGTACCATTTCTAATGTCATACCATAAATATGATTTGACTTACGGAAAAGAGCAGAAATCTGTGTATGGGCATCGGTACAGACTTCTGTAAGGTTTACCTCTCCCTTCAGCTGATTGAAGCTCTTGATGAAAGCCTCTCTCTCCATTATAGTAGAAATCCTACCACATAGTCTTTTATCTTCAGTTTTGATGGACATAATTTTCTTCGTCTCATTGTCCATCAAGGTGTAAGTACAGTACTGGGCTGAAAATCCTGGGCTGTCCATTCTTCCATCGCCTGTGTCCATAATTAAAAAGTAATGTAAATAAAAAGGTTCTCACCCAAGTAAACAAAAAAAAAAAAACTCAAGAAATTACCTAGAGCAACAACACTTCTGTCATGGACCTCAGCTATAACCGCTGACCGTTTCTCTTCCCAGAAGCTCTCAATGACATCATGACAGTATTCAGCTTGAATACGGTAGAACGTGGACTTTGCAACCATGCCCATATTCATGTACTTGAACAAAAGGGCTATTTTTGAATAGTTGTTGCCAGATAGGAGTATGTTGGTGGCCAGCATGAAGTCCCCACTCTGCATGCCAAATTTAAATTTGGGTTGAGAGTTCCACTCCCAAACAACATGATCATTTGGACAAATCTAAAGAAGGAAAAAGATAGTAATATACACAATTGCAAAAAGACAAAATGCATTACAGCACTGTAAGAAAAAAAAGGCATTCATACCCATTTTACAACCATAGCTGTTCCTCTGGTAGAAATGTCTGTCTGGTATGGTGCTGGGGCTCCACAATCTGACAAATCTTCCATTTTGGCTGTGCATAATGTAATAGGAATGAGCAGGAACTCTGCAAGTTGCTGCACACACTTGTGGTACACTATTGCAGCCTGCTGACCAACAATGTCTCCAGAAACAGCCACTTTACAATTGTCAGGTATGGACACTGGGTCATCGTGGGGTGCTTCAGGGAGGACAATATCATAAAGTGTATCCTCCTCACTTATGTCCTGGAGATTTTGAAGTTCTATTACTTCTCTCATAGTGGCCCCGGTCCTGTGAACAGTGTGACAAGTGTATTATGTACTCTGTTTTACATGTTCAGTTTACATACACATACAATGAAGTCAACCTTATGCGATATGGAGGTATGCATTCTTCATCATTGCTGTCCTCAGACTCTTCCATTTCAATTGTCCAGTCTTCTTCTGAAGACGAAACATCTTCAGTCTCTTGGCTTGGTGACCATGTTTGGTCATCGTCTGATTCAAGGCTGTATCACAAAAGTAACAACGACTTAGTATGTGATATGTGTAAACTTGCTTTTGTAAGCAAAAGCTCAAATCCTCACATGGAATTTTCTATTCTGTTGTACTCCTCCTCGTTGATCTCTACAGGAATACCACTTGATGGCAAACTAAACAAAACAAAGAACAACATTATTCTAATTTATATCCAAATTGACCATAGTGGCAATCATACGGCAACTAAAAAGTTTCACTTACTGTCCAGTTACAGAGATTGAGACTTCACCTTGCCCCAGGACCTCCACCCCCTCTTCAAATGCAAAATCTCTAAAGAAATAAAAAGAAAATGTTAGTTTTAGTTTTTTCTCTTGCCACTCAAACATTTTATTGTGGTTATGTGGTGGTTTAGGTATCTATTTTCCCATGGTTAGTGAAAGGGATGCTTTGGTATTACACTGTATTTGCATTTGTAAGGTCAACACTCATGGCCCTTACTGATAGAGCACTCAAGTAGTGTATTGTTAACAGACATCCCCACCCCACCACTGGCTAATCTAATTTAAAAATATTCTCACCTCTCAGACAAGTCTCCGTGGATACTAGACAGTGCTGGAAAAGCAAATAGCTGTTTTTTGAAAGGTGTAGAGGTTGAAACTTGAGATCCGGTTTGGTAACTGGAAACACAAATATTATAATTACACCAATCGTAACTGCATTTAAATTCTCACATAAAAAGATATCATTTGACTCATATGTAAGGATGGCACAGAATCTGAACTAGCTTCCTGACTCATTCTTTGCTTACACCCTACAGAATATGAATGCCATGTCTATGAGATATGTCTATCTGACAAACAATAGTAAGCACCATAACGTGAAATACAGATAATTATAAACACATAGTTATAAACACTCACACAACTGACTCACTGAGCTAAAGTCACCAGCTGGTTATACAACTTTATAACTACTGTCGAGAACGAACCAGACAGGGACGGATCGTGGTGCGCCAAAGCTCTGGAAGTTTATTTAGGTTTCTCTCAATTTCCAGTGGTTTCAGTTGTTTCTTTCTTTCAGATAGAACAAAGCCAGTACACAGTTTATATAGTCATTGTTACGTCACACATCGAAAGTTATACGTGTCAAACCCAGAGACACCAGAGCATAATAGTCATAACATGAACACAGTCAAAGTCCTTGTAGAGTTGTCTTGCACTTGTCCTGCGTAGTCAAAATAGCCATCTAATCCTCACACTACAATAAATAGCAATAAACACGTTAATCTTTGGCTTTCCAAAAATGGAACTCGCGTGATCCAAAATTTGTACAGTTTTATGGCGCAACAAGTACAAGTAAAACTACTTCAACTAATACTACTACTGTGGATAGCCCTATCTGCAGGTTAGGTTGTGAAAAACATCTGCGTTGGCCAGTCACTGTATTGTACTGTTGAACATTGAATACCCACTGTATTCAATGTTTCACTTGTATACTAGCTTTAGGCTACAAGCTAACGCGAGACAAACAGCTCATACCGCTATTTAGACCGCGTAGTAACGCGGAGAATATGTAAAATACATTACAATGAGGCACCCACTAAATAACATATTCATTCGGGATGAACACTTGTGTCATGCATTTACCTGTCCAAGAGAAACTTTGCCAAGTCTTCGTCCGTTTTGAATGCCTTGAACTCACGAAGGTGTCTCCATCTGTTGAAAACGTCTCCGATATTGATTCTACTTCTGTCTCGCATTCGTTTTTCAGCTAATTTAGTAGCAGGACTTTTGAACTTTTTAAATTTCCTTTGAGAAGTAGAAGGGACACGTGAAATGGGTATCTTCTGCTCTTTAGCTAAGTGTTGATCCATGGCTGCGCACGGGACTTGCTTGTTTCAGAAGCTCAGCGAAAACAAACAACTGAGCATGCGCGCAGCTACGAGCACGAGCGCCGATGATTGACAGCCCTTGGCTTCACTTCATTGGTTCACTTCGACGGCATCGTGGATTCTGAGATATAGCTAAGAGAAGGGAAGGCGGGACTTACTTGTAATATTGGAAATTATAAAATGACTTATTTTATATCAACATATAAGGCCAGGAGGTCAATTTAACACAATTCTTAAAAAATGTAACTCATTCAGAGTTGCATACTATCACTTTAAATGTATTCTACCTTTGCTATGGGGTTGTGATGGGCCAGCCCATCTTTTGGTTCCAGAAGTAATAACACCTTACTCCGTTTCTCCAAATGGATTTTGAAAAAAAAAAAATATTTCTAAGCTTATTTAGGGCTATTAAGCTGTGGTGAAGATTTCACAGATTATTCAATTGAATATGCTTTTTGGGCTGAAAACAACCATGCATTGGTCATTGTTTACTCATTTTAAATTATTGTTAAATAACAATACATAGACTTAAAATACAACACAATGTAATAAAATGTATTCTTGTATAGCCCTAATTCACAACAGTAGTCATCTCAGAGGACTAAACAAAGCCCCGTTGAAATCGCCAACACAGATCAGAGAATCAACAGTTAAGACACAAAAATTATAGAACACATATGTATTGGTCCATAGGGAGAGACCAATGTCCATGATTATTAATAAATGTTTATACATGTAGAATGTAGAGTGTCCTGGATCATCACTAACAGTCTAATGCCGTTTTTCCACGGTCCGAGTACGGTACGTTTTGACTCTACACGGCGCGCCATGGCCCAGTTTGCGTGCTTTTCCATCAAAAATAGTACCCCCTAGTACTCATGTGTCAAAGTCAAGGTCCGCGGGCCAAATCCGGCCCGCGAATGAATTTTACATGGCCCGTTCCCTGCCATTGACGCACTATTAGTGCAGTTTTTCTGCACACTTGTCTGTGTAGAGAAGCTAGCGGAGCTAGCCACGCTCAATAAACAAATACATATCTATCAATTAACACCATTAAACGTTAATCGGGCAATACAGTATACATATACATCCTTAACACACATGCACGGATGATTTCAGAATTTGCTGTCAACGTTTTCATGACAAAAATACTATTTTAAAGTGACAAAAAGCGATCGCGAAAAACCCGGAAGTTACAGTGAAACAGCTAGCTAGCTTAGCTGTTACCAGCCTAGCACGTCCCGGTGAAACCTTTGGGAGCTAACTATTTTATTTGCGGTCATGAAATACATTTCAAATTATTAAAGGGCTGTCTAATATTTGTTCGAATATATATATATATAAAAAAAAATTCATTTTAGAATTATATTCGAATTTTGAAGTCGAAGCCCTGGTGTTTAGCAGCGCTGTAGGGGCTAGAGGACGCAGGCTGTTCGCTGCTCGTTCTGTGAGTGGAGGAGAACGAGCGTCCCGCTAAGACTCCACTCAGCACTTTTCACTGCATACATTTCATACATATGGAGGACCAAAAATGACTAAAGTATAAATAAATAAATAAATAAACAGGAGTATATTAATAAATACATTCATTTTGGACAATAAAAACTAAATATTTACATTGATATGCTACATATTACTCTGAAATCAAATAAATATACTTTTATTTAGGTTATTTATCAAAATCTACATTTTTTTCCTTTATTTATTTATCCATTTATTGCATATATTTATTTATGTATTTCTACATTTCTTCATTTATTTATTTATGTATTTCTGTGTCGCAGTATTTCTTCATTTATTTATTTATGTATTTCTACATTTCTTCATTTATTTCTACATTTCTTCATTTATTTATTTATGTATTTCTACATTTCTTCATTTATTTATTTATGTATTTCTGTGTCGCTACATTTCTTCATTTATTTATTTATGTATTTCTACATTTCTTCATTTATTTATTTATGTATTTCTGTGTCGCTACATTTCTTCATTTATTTATTTATGTATTTCTGTGTTCCTGTATGCTAATTAGGTGGGCGGTGCTGAACTCAATCTAGAACAGGATTGGTTAGGATTGCGTGAACTCTGGTCTCGATCATTCCTGCCTCACATTACGGTACTCTGTTAGCTAGCTAGAGATCCTCTGTGCACTTTTGTGTGGTATGATGGCAGTTTCGAATGTAAGTTTTTTAGGAGCCATTGCTCATCAATTAAGAGCATTAGCAAATGATGTTAATGATGTTGAGCATAATGCACCTGAGGACTATCTACTCTTTCGGCTGGAAAGACTATTAAATGTTTTAGTTCATCACAGTGCTGACCCAGAGGTAGACTTTGATGCAACTGTGCTGGACGCTCTTCAACAAGCAGCAGCTTCACATCCTCTCACAAACCGAGAAGGCTAAAGCCAAGCGTACATCGGACTGGCAACTGATTATATCCGTCGCATATGAGTTGCTGCCCCGCACACATCGACAATCTGACGAAAACGGGCAACTCCCAGTAGCAGACCAGTCTCGGGAATAACAGCGCGTACATCGACAGCAACTGGCCTCAACTACAGTGTGTTTTCTGATATAAACTGTTGCGGGCGCAATACACACAATACACACGCACGTTGTCAGAGCGGCGCATGAAGCGCGCACATCGGGTCATATCTCCGAAACTGAGGACAACTAGTTGCCGAAAAGTAGAACACGGGCAACTGACTGAAACTGGAGACCGACTGATCATCTCCAGTTGTAAGAGCGCGCACATCGACCGATTTTGGCAACTGATCATCTCCCACCATCTCCTCTCAGTCGCCAAAAGCCGCCTTGCAACTTGTCTCCAGTTACTCTGTCGATGTACGCTATAGGCTTAACTTTGCTTCTGTCTGGTTGCCCTGGCTGACCTACTGCCCACCAATCCTGTTCTAGATTGAGTTCAGCACCGCCCAACTAATTAGCATATGGCAACACAGAAATACATAAATAAATAAATGAAGAAATGTAGAAATACATAAATAAATAAATGAAGAAATGTAGAAATACATAAATAAATAAATGAAGAAATGTAGAAATACATAAATAAATAAATGAAGAAATGTAGCGACACAGAAATACATAAATAAATAAATAAATGAAGAAATGTAGAAATACATAAATAAATAAATGAAGAAATGTAGAAATACATAAATAAATATATGCAATAACTGGATAAATAAATAAAGGAAAAAATGTAGACTTTGATAAATAACCTAAATAAAAGTATATTTATTTGATTTCATAGTAATATTTAACACATCAATGTAAATATTTAGTTTTTATTGTCCAAAATGAATGTATTTATTAATATATTCCTGTATTTATTTATTTATTTATTTATTTATACTTTAGTCATTTTTGGTCCTCCATACATACACAGCTGAATCAATGACCTCAAGTTTTCAATTAAATTATGTATTATGATACAACTTGTATGTAGTAAAAAGCATTTTTATGAACTACTTAGAAAAAAAATCGGGTATAGCTTTGTGAGATTTCATAACACTTTGAAGCAACTTTTGTTAAAGTTAAACTCATCATTCTATCAATGTGCAGAAGCCTGTACTTTTCCACTTCATGTTTTGACTATCTCTGCTGGCACTGTGGCAGCTGCTGATTGGAGGACTTCATTCTCCCATGCTATATTATCACTAACAGTTTGTTACATCCTTTGTTCGTGTTGTTCGTGCTGTCTCTACCATCCACAATAAAACATGTCTTCTGTCTGAATGAAAGACACAATCCCAGACTTGGCTCATCTTTTTCAGGTGTATGCGGGCATGATGGTAACAGCACAAACGTCCTGGGTTCAAAACCAGGTCGGAACAGGGCCATAGACGTCGGAACTAGGGGTGCGGGGGGTGCTGCCGCACCCCCTCCGCGTGTGCCGGGAGCGAGAAGTTATCACTATCCTGCGTTCCTTGCAGCCCAAAACCCGCTCCATGCTGTCGGAGGTGCTTATGAAGCTCTGTCTGGCTAATATCTGTCGCAGCCTCTGAGCGCTCTTTCTCAGCCTCAAATTAGAGACCTGGCTACACCAGTGACGTGCGGTGGGGGATCAATCATGTGTTCATATGATTATACATCATATAAACCAACAGGACCTACAGAGCGGCTTATACACAATTTGTTTGGCTACAGCAGAATATAATTTAATATCTGCATAGTTTGTACTTTTTACAAACGTTTGCGTTTTGTATGAGCAAAGTGTGTTATGGGCCTTACCTTAGGTATTAATGAACAGCACAGACCACTTCAGTTAGGACCAGTTTCATGTTTAAGTCCAGATAATAGTTTGGGCACAGACATGTAATCCTCCATTTGGAAATAAGTTCAATGAGTTTTAAAAAGTAAAACAAACGGGTGTCTCCTCCATAAACTCCTCGAGTTTTGCTGCAGCCGACTCCCGGGTAAATCCAATTTCTAAATTCAACCTTACCCTTCACCTCCTTTTCTTATGATTCATATCATCATTGGAAGCAAAACATTACTCTATGTGTAAATGATCTTAAAATGTATTATAGGTATGTTAGCCAAACCTGTAGCTGCCCTTAGCAGAAGAAGAACAAGAAAGGAGCTTTCTGATGGAATTGGATGCAGCCAAAGTTTGGGCACACAAGCGCCCCCTTGAGGCTTTCCTCACTTACAAGCTGTGGTTGAGCGCGATTAAAGCTGCACTAACTGACTTTGGGATTTTGAAGCCGTGGACTCGCTGGCCTCGCTCTTTCTGCTCCCCTCCCCGCACCCACGAAGCTATCGACCCCCCACACACACACAGTGTTGAGACGGAGCTAGTGTCTCCCAATATGGATAATACATGGATATGGATTTTCACGTGGATGGCGTGACCATAGAACGATAGAACCGGGAAGCGCGGAGGAACGGGACTTTCTTTTGGATGGCTGTTTCGCTGTGTAAGCAGTAACCGGTGTCGAGGAAGTTTCAGGTTAGCTCCTCGGCTTGTTGTGCTAACTCAGCTGTCTGTGCTAACGGACCTGTAGATTTCTCACGAAAGTGGGGGCTAGTGGTCCGCTGTGATTGGTCACAATCTGCGACCCGAAACACATTCTCTTCCTTGTTTCATCAAAACTCGATCTAAAATATAATGTCACGCCAGCCCAAATCTGCGCTAATTATTCTTCAAAAGGACGTATATCCCAATGCACTACATGGACATGGATAGCATTTTCGTAATGAATACGAAAATAAAGTCAGTTAGTGCAGCTTTAAGACCCATATTTGCTTCAAAAACACAATTTATGAGCCATCCTCTTAAATGTAAACATGTTGATTGTAAATTAAATATTTTTGAACTTTTTAAACTGTGATAAACAGAGAAAACAGTTTGATAGCACCTCACATGACTCTCCCTGTGAACTGTTGCTTTTACGTCTCCCGAGAGGCTTGCCTCACAGGCCGCTCTGTCAAATCTGCAATTTCAAGGTATAAATAAATGAAATAAGGCAAAGTTACATTGAAATAATGCACAGCACAAATCGCTTGATAAAGTAACCAAACATTATTGTATCCATTTTATTACTTTTCTTTCTATGATCTTAGGTGAGGGCCGCTGCCTCATCTGACCGCACGTCACTGGGCTACACTGAAGCCGCCGGAGAGACTGACGCATGAATGCGTATTGAAAAAAACAGTGTTCAGTTTGATAAGTGACTTGCTTGATATATATTGTTTATTTTTTGTTTTCTTAACAATTAAGATGGTATGTTATTATCCAGTGTAATCCAAGTATGAGTCTCTCCCTCGACTCTCCCAACAAAAACCCGCCCCCCCTCTCAGAAAATAGTTCCGACGTCCATTACAGGGCCTTTCGGAGTGGAGTTTGCATGTTCTCCCTGTGTTTGCTTAGGTTTCCTCTGGGTATTCCGGTTTCCCCTACCACTAAAACATGTACGATAGGTCTGGCCTGCGCCTCCTGTACTGGCAACCTCACTCCCATCTCCATGTGGAGTGAGAGTCAAATGCCCAAACGCTTTGTGACTCTGGTCTGTGAAAGGCGTTACATAAATAAAGATTACTTACTTACTACTTACTTTCTTACTTACTAAACGCTGGCTGTGCAATGTTCAAAAATTGGTTATGAATATGAGCAATTAACTATTGCGTTAATGGATATTATTCGGGGTCAAAGACATTGCCCTGATGCCAGGTATGAATTAATGGAGGTGGGGGTGCAGATGTATATATTTTAGGAGTATGTATTCAGTGTGGAAAAGTAACGGTGGCAGGCTAGAAGCTGGATGAGCCTCTGATGAGCGTCCACCCACACACCAAATAATAATACAGGGCATGTGTGGGACATGACATTACCAAAGCATTCTTTGTTGATGACATTTTAAAGGTGAGTAAATTATCTGCAGATCCAATAAAAAATACAGCGTGGAGGTACTGTATATAATAATTCATCCTTACAATAGATTTTTGTCATCATTTCCTACTTAAGTGGGCATGTACCAGTGGCTGTGAACACAGGGATTATCTGAGAAATTGCTCTGAATGTTGGAGAATTATAAAGCAAGTATAGGAATAAGGGATTGCATAAGATAATTGGTTTTCAGTATTTGGGCTAGTTGCTGAAAAACTCATCTAATTACAGAAACGTCAAACAGTCAAAATGTCAGCTGTACCTTATCTTAACTCAAAGAACCCCATGAAAACTTGAAATCTCGACTAATTATTGGTTCAATAACTTAAAATTAAACTACCTCTACCATCTTTATTTTTTGACACATGATACATTTTACTGGTGTGTCTCTTTCAAGATTAAAGCAATGTGAGAGCCGGACTTTTTTCAGAGCACATGTTTTAATATTATTGGTTTCTGTCCACATTGAATACTCAAAGTAGTTTCTGTGCAGGAGGGGCCTGCTACGCCTTAGACTGTGATGTCATGATGGCTGATGAATGTATGGAGGAAGAGTTTTCAATGCCTGCAAAGCCCAAACCGCAGCGGGACCCTCTGCTGGAGCTGGTGTCTCTGCAGAAGGCTTCGGGCTGCTGGGAGTTAGAGCCAGAACTGGCCAAAACCCTGAGCCAGACGAGCCAAGACCTCCAGGACAAACGACCTTCAATGGTGAGTCACTATTATGTAGCGCGGCTGTCAGGTACAAATGCAATTATTCTACCATTTTATATGTTTATGTCACTTTCCAGCGAGTACAATAACAATGAGTACAAATAATTAATAACAAGCATAACATGTTGCTTGACTTCAGTTACTCTTAATTACTTAATTTAATCAATTGTTAACTCTTGGCTCTGGCTGTTTTAACTATTCAATTTGCATTGCTTATTTAGGCAAACAAAGAGGTGTGGGCCACAATTGTGGCTCTGGTCTGGCTTCATGGTCTGAAAGCTGATGCCAAGGACGAGTGGGAGCTGCTGGTCATGAAAGCCGCCACATGGCTGCGCTCACAGAATGGTAAATGCATGTGTTTTTGTTAACATATATTCTCTGTTCATAGATGAAAGATGCATTATGTAATGATGCGTCTTCCCTTTTCCCTCTGTCTACAGCTGCAGGCCTGTCCGAGTGTGTGGAAGCTGCCAATGCTCTTCTGGGTTGCAGTGTTCAGAAAGATGCCCTGGGACTCTAAGTTTATTTTGTTTCTATTTAGATTTAAGCTTCTTATTTTTTTTTTTTTAAAGCTGTAAATCCAAGCTGCTTGTTAACAGGAGTAAGCCGTTGTTAATTGTTCAGCAAATGTGCCTTAAATATGAAATGCAATGCACCACTGATTTTAAGCCATACACTGTATACATGTTGTTTTTTATACATCTTTGTTGTTTATAGATAAGCTCGATTTAAAGACATAAACATGCATACATTACTCTAAATGTTCTGTAAACCTAGAAAGCACCCATTCAATATAAATAAATGCTGCTTCCAGTTGTTTGGATCCCCTCCATCCGTCCATTGCTCATCGATAAACGTGCAAACAAACCTCCTTGAAGGTAATCAAAACCAGGATCACTATTTTGCTGGAGGAATGCATTATCTGCTGCCACCACAAGATGGAGCCATTAGACATTTCTGTTTACGGTCATTGATTATTTTAGTTTATTGGTATTGATATTTTTTTTTCTCACCTGATTTCATTTATGTAAATGAATGTTACAAGTTTAGAGGTGCAATTATGTTTTTGTTATTAAGGCTTTAGTCTTCGGTAGTTTGGGTAATACAATAAGTTTACATAATTTTCAAATACAAATAATCTTCTGTATTTTGTGGAAATAAATATACATATATGTTCCAAAGTAGTTTGAACTTTTCGTTCCATGAACATGCCCTTCTAGAAAGTTCGTGTTGCTTTAATCAGCATCAAGTAAAATGTATTTATTCATTTTACGAAAGAAACAATAATGTATAATAAATCAAATCCGTTATTACAATTCTGTTTGCTACACAAAAGTAGTAGGAAAACAAAAACTTTGAAATGATTGTTCAACAAAGATTATACCCGCTTCTCGATTAGCATTTTTGAATGGGATCCGGGAGTTTGTACAATTTTTCACAATTATCACAGTTCTTGATTTTAATAGGTCTTCAAGTTTTAGGATACTCTGATTTTAAGAATAATTGGTTAGGGTGTTATTTATGAATAATCCTAATAATCCTTTTTGAAAAACTTACAACTAATTGAAATGGTTACTTATTAAAACAGTTATTATCCTTGTTTGTGCTGGATACTTACTCTAATGTGTTTTTTCTTGTAAACCACAACATATGTCAACGATATTAATATATTCCAGTGCTTTTAATTTCTGTCTTTTCCGTTTTGGGTGGCTCAGTGTCAAAATGGTCTAAAGAAATGTGGTTCGTTAGTGTGTGCTCTGACAGGGCTCTGATGCTTGTTAGTGAGACTCACTGACAAGTTTAGGCCTCTGGAAAAACACTGTTTCAGACCAGGATTCAAATTATACTGGAGGAAGGGAAAACAATACAAATGCAAGCTTTTCCCATTGAAGTTCATGCTGTTTTTAAAAGAGATTGTCACAAATGAACTTGACCTGTGTTTCCTAACCTAAGGAACAGCATAAAACATGTTGTTTTATGTCTGTATTTGTCTGTGCACACTGGTGACTTTTGCTAATGTATTCCAATGTGTTTTTTTTTACTGCAAATGGCAAATAAACTGAATCTGAATCTGAGGAGCAGATAAACTTCATAATAAATTGTGCGTGGTCCATTCAGATTTCTGTTTATTGTTTTTTGCATCATATCATGGATAGAAGAAGAACAATAATGTAACGGCTTGATTCTTCTGCATACACCACAACCATCCATCCATTTTCTCCCCTTTAAACCATTTCTGGGTCAGGGGGTGGCAGAGCTGTACCCAGGTCTCGTGGTGGATTCGAACCTATAACCTTCAAGCCCAAAGGCCGATGCTCTACCTTTTTTTTTTTAAAGTCGTCATCTTATTCAATTAAAGGGGACATATCATGAAAAATCCACTTTTTGTGCCTTGACCTCCTAAGACCCGAGCACTTTTTTGCAATGCATTTTTTATTTATCTTGGCTAATTGGGCATATTGGGGCCAGATAAGAATATATACTAAGCATCATCTCTTGACATGATGTACATTTTGAGAAAAATGCTGTCCACATATGTGGACGCTCGGTCTGAATTTCCATAAAAAAGGCAATTAAGTAACGACTGTGTAATAAAGTGCTAAACGCTTTATTTCGACACAAACATTTGATAAATGAACAATATTGAACAAGGAACATGTTCAAACATATCTCAGTGCAAAAACAGAAAAAAGAGTACTCGGATGATCCTGAGAGCTATTTGTCTGGGGATTCATGCCCCTGGTAGGGTCTCCCATGGCAGACAGGTCTCAGGTGACGAATCAGACGAAGCGCAGTACAAAGCCAACATAAATAGCATGACATTAAGAACCGTGACGTCGCCCGGCATGGCACAGGGGTTGCAGAGGCAAAAACCCAGGAGTTTGGAGAGTTCATGGAGCATGACTATCGGTCGGCCTTAATAAATTGAAGATATTCTGGCAAACCGTCCGGCGCCTCAGGAGGGGGAAGCAATTCTTTGCCAACACCGTGGACGGTGTCGGGCAAAGAGCTGCTGACCTCCACTGGGGATCTTGTCGGGCGGTGTAAGTAATACTTCAAGGTTCTCCTCAATCCCCCTGTCACGTCCTCCAGAACGGAGGCAGAGGTTGAGGATGTTGGGGCAGATACCTCCATCTCCCTGGCAGAGGTCACCAAGGTGGTTGGTAGCCTCCTTGGTGGCAAGGCTCTGGGAGTGGATGAGATCCGCAAAGACTATCTAAAGTCTATTGTAGGACTGTCTTGGCTGACATGTCTCTGCAACATCGCGAGGTGATCGTGGGTAGACCGGGATGGTGGTCCCTCTCTACAAGAAGGGGGACCAGAAGGGTGTGTTCCAATTATTGTGGGATCACACTCCTCAGCCTTCCCGGTAAGCTCCACTCCAAGGTACTGGAGAGGAGGCTACGGCCGATGGTCGAATCTCGGATTCAGGAGGAGCAGTGTGGTTTTCATCCCGGCCACGGAACACTGGACCAGCTCTATACTCTCCATTGGTTCATTGAGTGTTCATGGGAGTTTGCCCCCAACCGGTCCATGTGTTTGTGGATTTGGAGAAGGTGTTCGACCGTGTTCTCCGGGATGTCCTTTGGGGGGTTCTCCAGGAGTACGGGGTATTCTGCCTTAGGGCCTTACGGGCCCTGTATGACCGGAGCCAGAGCTGCGTTCGCATCAGACCATGTTGAATACGGCCAGGGCTGCCCTTTGTCACCGGTTCTGTTTACTGTGTTTATGGACAGAATTTCTAGATGCAGGAGGGGGTCCGGTTCGGGGACCACAGGATTTCATCTCCGCTTTTTGCAGACGATGTTGTCCTGTTGGCTCCGAGGTGCCTTGCCCTCTCCAGGTGGGTGGAGAGGTCCTTCCTCAAGGAGTTCAAGTATCTCGGGGTCTTGTTCACGAGTGAGGGAAGGATGGAGCGTGAGATTGACAGGCGGATTGGTGCAGTGATGCGGTCGCGGTGAAGCTGAGCCGAAAGGCCTTGGGCTCCCCCCCACTAAGCAAGCCGACGTTGAATCAACGTAATTTGAACGTCGTTGTCCGACGTAGAATAGAGGTCACTGGTGGGTGCAGAATGAAAGTTTTCTCGACGTCGTTTCCCAACGTCACTTCAACCTCCAAATGTTACGTTGATGGCACGTCAATTCAAGGTTTGAATGTGGTACAGAACCGGTCGGGTCTGACGTCCTATCAACGTCTCATATGACCAAAATATTGACGTTTATATGACGTTCGTTTTCAGTCGTTCCCACTAAGCAAGCAGATGTCAAAACTATGTCATTTCAACGTCATCTGGACGTTCATTCAAGGTTGCAATGTGGTACAGAACCGGTCGGGTCCGACGTCCTCTCGACGTCTTATATGACCAAAATATTGACGTTTATATGACGTCCATTTACAGTCCTATTGACCTCTGCAGAATCACTCACTGGTCGAGACATACTTTTTGCAATAGGCAAGGCAAGTTTATTTGTATAGCACAGTCAAAACAAAAGGAAACTCAAAGCACTGAACAAAAGATAGAAACAATCAAACAAGGCATTACAATTATAAATATTGACTGTAAATTAAAAAGAAACAAATAAAATCTCTCATAAAATCTCTCAGTTGAAGCAGAAACAGAAGTGTTTTAAACCTGGATTTTAACATTGTCAAAGAAGAAGCCTGTCTCACATTTCCAGGAAGACCGTTCCAGATTTTAGCCTTGTGAATCTGAAATGCAGCTTTATCATGTTTAGTTCTGACTCTGGGCAATAAACGATAAACACAGCATTCAAAAATCATTAGAACAACTGTAGTAGAAGGATATCAGTCATTATTGCAAATGGAGCTGCATTAAAAATCATGTTTCTCTACATCAAAGTACAAGTTAAACCACACAGGGCACAGTGTTATGAACACTACTGTACTGAACAGTTCATGCTAAAGTAAAAAAACATGATTGTAGCGCCTATGTTTGGATCAGTATTAAAACAGGCACAAGCTACACTCTAGGTTCCCCAGATGTAAAAACACAATCTGAAAGGCAGAAGAATGCATTTATTGAATGTTGATGTTCCAACATGTGTCCTCTCTTGGTCTTCAGTCTCTCATCACAAAGTCCAAGCACAGCACCTGAAAATGTGGAACATGTTTAGTTTCAACATAATGTGGCAAAGTGATATAACAACACATAACTTTCTATTAATGCCTCAAACCACTCGATCCATCACCATGTGATACAAACCTTGGCACTGCACTAGCTCGAGACACTGGAAGACACTCCGTCTGAGAAACTTGGGATAAGGCTTTGGTCATTGGAGTAATTCCATGTAAAAAACAATTGCAAATGTGCATTTGTTTTGCACATGGACACAAATGAGCCCTGAAAGCTACTTACCCTGTATTACTCTACACATGTTGCATTTCCGAGGGGGCATTTTCCCCTTGTTGCTCTTTTCCCTCATCTTGAGTGAGTTGCTGAACAATCTGAGAAAAAGATAGATGTTTTCAAAGAGAATACACCAAATAATGGTTTATTCTAAAAACAACATATTAATACAGAACAACAATCAATGTGTGAGAGTGTGATTCTTACCTTTGAACACCTTCAACACAGTCTGACACCTGTAAGACTCAAACACACATGACACATTAGGAATACACACAGAACATTAGTTATTGCAACAATCATGAAATTATACTCTATGGATTTCACAATAATTGACTGCATTAGCAAAGGTAAATGTATTTTAATTAACATATGGCTGGTTTTAAAGTTTATAAGAAAAAGTAAGAAATTGAATAGAGTTGCAAGCGCTAGTTAGCTTGCTACCAGCAGATGAATGGATATTTAATATTTTCTGCTAACAATAACAAAAATAACAACTGTAGTGGCTCATTTAAACAGCCACAGTGAGAAGAAGTGAAAGTCTCCGACATTGAAGACCTGGGAAGACATTAAATCAATTTATTAAACAAAGCAATACAATGAACATTAAACTCTCTTTGAACTTGAATTATTATATTAAAACTCAGAATCTTACCTTTTTTTTACACATAGTTGTTGGACAGTTCACCTATGCATTCTAATGTCGTTAACAAATCGGTTTTTGTAATATGAAATACAATAAATATTTTAAAACTTAACTTAAAAACTAAAAAAGTGTCTCCCTTTCAGGCTGAGCAGGCCCAGCCGTTATTATTATAGAATCATGCACTGCCAATTCCACCCTACAGATCATATACAAAAATCTACGTAAAAAATCCACGCTAATGTGTGAGAAAAAAAACTTATTTCTGTCTTCAACTCTTTTCAAAGTGGAAATGTACCTCTATATCTAAAAATGTGCCGATGTTGATACTTACTGAGAGGGTGATTCAAGTAATAAAGCCAGGGCCGCCGACTGAGGTCCCTGATTCAACGTATCTATACCACGTTCGGACGACATTGCTTTACGTCCAGATGCACCACCTTACCGTCGTTTAGACGTGGAAAACAGGTCCTCGAGCGGACTCACGTGTCAGGCTTGTAAGTTATACTCGCGCGGCGCATAAGGTTGTGCGTCGGTTCGTTAAGGGTGTTTATTGTATTATTTTTTCACAGTAGTCAGAAAAATGCCAGGCTGTGGTGTAGCCGGTAGCGTAATGAGAACTTCAGTGCAACGACACGGTTAAATCCCCGTCGGAAAACCTTTTGACTTTTCACTTTTTAGCGAACAATTTATCTGTTTGGTTAAAAACGAATAAACTTCAAACATAAGATTATGTTAGATGGCTAATCAATAAAAATTGTGAACCCATGCATTTGCATAAAATCTCAAGTGCTCACCCCTTATTTGCCAAACTTGAGATTGTTAGCACAACAAATTAGCATACATTCACCGTTCTTAATTATAGAAGAAGAGTGGAGACCTCCTTCTCTCCTGTCAGGTCCATCGATAGCTTCGGCGCTCTGCTGCTCTCCCTGGCATTATCGGCTGCTTTTGCCTGTTCTCTCACGTGTGTTATGTTTGACACAAACATGGCGGCTCCCGTAAGCGACACGCAAGTAGTTTCCGTCCAAAAGGCAACAGGCAAGTATTACAACCATTATAATGACACATGTTCTATGGTGACGTTGACTGAAGGCTTGAAAGGTTCACAATGCCAAAACGTTTTAGTCCATCAACTAAAATCTCCCAAAGCATTGACAATTAGCTTTTTTAGTTCCTTCAAAACAAACTAAAATGAGCCCATCCGATCCCCCGTTCCCTGGTGAATGCAGACCATGGATCCATTTATAAAGCTTGCAGACCCAAAGTAATGGATCTTCTTCGGAGAGTTGTAGCAATATAAGTTATTTATCTGTGCTTTCCTCGTTTTAGTCTAATAAATTGGGATCTGTTAAAAGTTCGGGTCCCAAACTTAATGTTTTGTTCCCCTGGCTCACGGGGAGGTAACAAAAGCAACGACATACGGGGAAGCGGGTTGACAGCTATTTTATTATAATTCAAACTATAATATAGGCGTCAGTGTAGTACGCGTATGCAAGTGTCAAAGATGCTCAGAGCGGCATGGCAGAATAGAGCGCACGCACAAACCTCTCCCCGGACCCCCTCCCCGGACCCCCTCCCCGACCCCCTCCCCTGACCCCCTCCCCGGACCCCCTGCCCTGACCCCCTCCCCTGACCCCCTCCCCGGACCCCCTCCCCTGACCCCCTGCCCAGGTCCAGGTTTCTACAATCAGCTGGAGCATGATGCTCTGTGCCGCCTCTCTATCCCCGACTTGAAGCATATCAATACACTCATTTTATTATAAAATGTGTTTTTTTATGAAATGCAGATTCAAATCCAGATTAGTCTTGAAAACTCACAAGGAAAAGTTTTGCATATTAGGAAAGAACCCTGTGAGTCACTCTTTCCACAAGACTGGTCCTCTCTTTTTTAACTGTTCTGTCAAAGAAAGGTATTCTGTCACATTAACTAAATATGAATCCATAGAGAAATGGGATTTGTTAGATTTATGGTGTTTTGAAAATTTGGTACCCCAGCGTTTTCATGTCATTACACAGTTACATTTTTAACATTTCCAGTATTGATTACGTCTTGTGTATTCAGGAAGAGGACCACGGAGGATAGCCAATCAGATCCCAGATGAAATCCTCAATAATCCAGAACTTCAAGAGGCCATCAAGGCCCTTCCTGCTAATTACAACTTTGAAATCCAAAAGACTGTATGGAGAGTGAGACAAGCAAAGGCAAACAGAGGTAAGATATCAAGATGCAACAATCTGCACGATTGTTAATATAACAAGAGATTACAGTACTTTTTGGATAATTAAAGGTCCCATATTAGGTTGTTTGACTTTTCTCTGCTTTAAACATGATTACAGTGCTATTTGGCCTTCATGCGCATGGTCAAAGTAGTTAATTGATTCCCTCAAGCTCTAGTTCATCTTCAGTTCTATCAAGCTCCAACAAAAAACAGTTTTATGAGTGTCAACCCAGTATTCTGCAGAAAACACGACGACTGTCATTGAACCATGAATCCATGTTTCACTCTAACTACATTTAGTAAAAGATATAGATATTACACATACCATCATGTTTTAGACTTAAGATCCACAGAAACACGTTCAGTATAAGACCATGTTGCATTTGATTGAAGACAGACACCATTTCTCTCAAACTCAACATCTGGAGCTGGGACATAGAGCTGAGGCTTCTCTATGTTGACGTGTTAGAGTGTAAGATGATGTCCGTAAATATAATCCATGTTGTCAAACCACCTCCAGACTTTTCAGTTCGGTCCACTTTTACGGCTGGGATCTTTCTTTTCACGGTAGTCACTTTTACGCTTCTTAACTTTTCTCTGCACACGGTAAACGGCCCTAATTTTTGCAAATGTTGAGTTTCTTGAAGATTGCGCCTGAGTCAGAGTCCTCAAAATCAGAATTACTGTCATAACATATGGATCAGCGTAGACCCGAGGAGAGACCGTAGACACTGGAGAGACCGTAGACACTGGAGAGACCGTAGACACTGGAGAGACCGTAGACACTGGAGAGACCGTAGACACTGGAGAGACCGTAGACACTGGAGAGACCGTAGACACTGGAGAGACCATAGACACTGGAGAGACCGTAGACACTGGAGAGACCGTAGACACTGGAGAGACCGTAGACACTGGAGAGACCGTAGACACTGGAGAGACCGTAGACACTGGAGAGACCGTAGACACTGGAGAGACCGTAGACACTGGAGAGACCGTAGACACTGGAGAGACCTGTGCGAATGCGAGGAGAGACCAGCACGGACCTGTAAGGGATCCATGGGAGGGATCAGTGTGGACCTGTAATGGATCCATGGGAGAGACTAGCACGGAGAGTCAGCCCGGACCACTGCAACCTCCTGTAGCAGCAGTATATATGCCATTGTTTTGTTCGCCGTGGATGGAGAAATGCACCCTATATAAATAGGATGGGGTCACTAATAGACGGCATGATTTCCAATTTATTTGATAAAGCGTTGGCACATTTCATTTAAAGATAAAATAAAAAATTGGCTAAATTACCACAAAAAACATACATACATCAATATGACATATCACTGTAATGTTGTGTTTTATTGAACTTAACAAAAGTAGACAGCACCAGCGTGCCAACATGTCGGCGCTGAATGTGCTTACAAGTGCTCCTGAGTATTCGTAGGAGTTGCTCTTACCCAAAAGAAATCCTGGATAAGAGAAAAATTCATGAATGCCACAATCTTCGTGATATTCTTAAAAACATATTTGTTCTTAAGAACAGTTTGTGTATGAGGCCCAATGTCATGTCATTGTAGATACGGTGTTCTTAAGATGCAAATCAGCATTTTTTACGTCCAAACACGACGAGTTGTTACCAAAAAGTTCTATTTTGGTATCATCTGACCATATGACAATCATCTGCGACACTCTACTCTTCCAGAACTACAGTTACCATGGAACTGGACTTACTCAAAAGGTGATCAAAAGCTTACTCATCAGTGTCATTCCCACAATAAAAGACTCTAACGCGAAACCTCGATCTGTAAGTACAGTGCTGACTCCGCGTATACTTCTGTAAACTAAATAATCAGGGTCTGATTGTTGATCGAGGATATAGAGCTCGATGTGTTGGATTGTCATTGTTGGAAAAAGTTTGTTCTCAGGTCTGAAATGACTATACCGGTGAATCAAAGAGTTTACTTTAGAGATAAACAACTCGCAGCGTGAGGCGGGCGGGGGGAGGAGTAGACTGCTCTCTGGATCAGCTCGTTTGAGTTGAGGTCGACATCACCTCTATGTAAGGGATGGCTTTAATCTCACAGATTTTGAATGTTGTATGGTGTATCACACATGTGTATAGGTTGGACTGTGAAACATAAAGAAGAGTGTTATATGGAACCTTTAAAGTGATAGTCTGGAACTCTAAATGAATTACAAATTTTATAAATTGTATTAAATTGACTTCCTGGCCTTAAATGTTGATGTTAAATAATTCATTTTTTGAATTCTAATATTACAGGTAAGTCCCGCCTTCCCTTCTCTTAGCTATAGCTCAAAATCCACGATGCCGTCCACTTTAACTAATCAAGTGATGCGAAGGGCTGTCAATCATCGGCGCTCGCATGCTCAGTTGTTTGTTTTCGCGGAGCCTCTGAATCAAGCCTCTATTAGGCTCTGAAACTACATGAAAACTGAACAAAGAATTCTGAACATCCACACTGAGTTGCCCATTAAATACTGAACCTATATCCACAATCAGATCCTCTGCAGATGTGTCCTAAAATGTTCAATTAATCAAAATAGCTACTCTCTCTTTTTTCTGACAAACACCAGACAATCACTTTAAAGGAGTTACAGGTCTGTGAGAGCCAGAAATCTTGCTTGTTTGTAGGTGACCAAATACTTATTTTCACCTTAATTTGCAAATAATGTCTTTAAAAATCAGTTGTGTGTGGATTTTCTGGATTTGTTTTTTCTCATTCTGTCTCTCATAGTTGAGGTATGCCTATGAATTACAGGCCTCCCTCATCTTTTTAAGCGGGAGAACTTGCACTATTGATGGTTGACTAAATACTTTATTACCCCACTGTATACATGTTGCGCAGATGTTAAATATCATGTGTGATTAAGGTGCCCTACACACCAAAAGTTTATTTTTGGAAGTATGGGAAGAAAACCCGCAAACTATTGTATTGGAGAAGGGCATTTAACCAAAGTCAAACAGTGGTAAAGGAAATACTAAACAATATTGACTACATTTATACACTTGACTTTGTGGAAAGTGATACGAAATAATGTAGGTAAAAATAAGAACTTTTCAGACAATGCAAATAAAATCCTATTAAGTCTATTTACACTCTGAATGTAAACTTAAGGCTTTCTATTCCACTGAGAAAACTGATATTTTAAAGGTACGCTGAGTCTTTGAGTGAGCTTGGAAATCTCTGCCAATGGAAAGAGCTCTTTGCCTTTGTCAGCTGTGGCAGAGGTGTGTTCTGAAACCTTTCTGTGTTAATAAACTTGGCCTTTTCTCCGTAATGACCTGTCTCTCACTGTCTGCATTGGGGCGTGCCTGTGATCCCTTAACCTTCAAGACGCTCTTCTGCTCCTCCTCTGACCCCTCCATCTATCACCCCGTCTCCAGGAATCCTTTCTGGGACTCTTGCATGCTTTGTTTGGCCCACAGTTGATTGTACTCTGCAGGCCTCAGTGTGATTTTGATATCTGAAAAATATCACTGTTTCTTTTTTATACAACTTAAAACGCCTCTTGTTCAGCTGAAAGCAACTACACCTTTCACAGCTTTAGAAAAAAAATATGTATCCTTAAAAAACCTGAACAATTCCGTTGCTAAATGTGAAGTGTTGTGCCGTTTGGTTAGAACAGACGGGAATTTTCTGAGTCCAAAAACAATGTTCGGAATTGTGTGGTCTGTGTGTATTTTTCGCCTCCTGAAAATAACCTTCTGTCACTTTCAAATACAATTCGTGGGCGTATTAGTCTTCTATTACATATATTTCTGATATTACACCTTTGCTTCATTAGACAAATGATATGTGCCTGTTAAACTACATCCACTCCATTTCCACATCATATTGACTGTATGTAAGAATATCTTTATTAGATTCTAATTTTTCAACATGATCTTGTGTTGTCATGGGGCTGAAGTGGCTGCAGGAACAGTAAGCTGTAAGCTGTAACAGTAAGGATACCTAAACTCTCATAGATGAACATTCTCCCCTTAAACATGGGAGAATGTATTGGCTTTGCACTGACTGTGAGCTGTGAAGTAGACTATTATTTTCTGAATCTCCAATAGTCGTTCTGAAATAAACCTTCTTGAAATGAAGATGCCATTGCAGTACTCAAAACTTGTATAGTTTCAGGATTGAGGATTTACTAAATTTGTTGCAGTCATCCTGATACAGCAATATTAACATTTACATTTTGTGTTTTTGTATTTCCCAGTGGCTCTGCAGCTTCCAGAAGGCCTACAGATGTTTGCATGTGTCATCGCAGACATTATTGAAAGGTAGGAACAATGATAATATAAAGAAAAGCCTGTTCGTTATGGTGACAAAATTATGTTTACACAATAGGCAACAAAACAATGAGACAGATTCATATTGAAATGTTGGAATTGGAAATGAGTAGCACTTATATTGAAAAGGTATTCAATTTCACAGGAACAAACATGGACACATTTTCAAACATTTGTCCAGGTTTGCTGTATATCAAAACTACTATCAAGCCAAGTTTTAAGTATAAAAGTGTCCAATAATGTTTGCGAACTCTGACATAGTTGATATACAAATCATCAGATAGTGTTATCCACTACTTTCTTGAGTGCTGAAGATAAAATATTTACTGTGTTTTAAAGGAAGAACACCTAACCATGAATCTCTAAAATCATGTATATGTATTTTTTTAACTTGGATTACATTCCTATTAATCTGTATAACCAGGGTTTTAAGTAGGGTCTGCAGCCCACAACAGCTTTTTGGACATGAAGATGGCCTGTTTAGGCTTGAGCGAACAGGCTGTGACGCAAATGCTGTCAACCTTACCACATGCTTTAGCAGCTTTGATGATTTACCAGCTTTCATTGAGGTTATACAATAATAACAATCATTCTGTGAAAGAATACAACTATATGGCTTCATGAACATAATTTAAATGTACTCAACACATCATCAAAATTAATTTTCTTTTACAAAAAGTGCCCATGCACTTAAACAATAGACATCGTATTTCAGATTCCGTTTATTTGCCATTTGCAGTAAAAAAACCACATTGGAATACATTAGCAAAAAGTCACCAGTGTGCACAGACAAATACAGACATAAAACAACATTAAAAGACAGAAATAAAACAAATAAAACAGTAAACAAGTGTCACTGTGAAATTTTGATGTATTTTAATGTATAAATATATCAAATGTTGTGGAAATTTCCCTAATGATCCATGAAAACAGATTTTCATTTTGTGTGGTTTAATGAAAGTAAAAGTACATGATAATAAAAAGCATTTGCAAATGGAGAAAGCTTCTGCAGTCCGCTCCTCGGACCCTGCATTAGAGCCCTGCACTTGAGCCCTTGGCCCGAGGGCCCCGACGGCCCGACAGCCCGAGGGCCGGGCTTCGGGCCGATGACCGCATAATGACCTCGGACACGGGCCGGGCTCGGGCTCTTCATTTTCAGAGCGGCAGAATACATTTACGAACGCACCCACTGAATATAGCGTTCTATCACGCTGTAGTGTTTGTTGTTCTGTGTAGTGTTGTCATTGACGGCACATAGCGTTACTTACAGGTGTGTTGCAGCATCTGGGCATCATACAGCTGTGTATCATACAGATGTTCACTCTGCACCACTCCGCACACACAGAACTCATTGCAACACATCACTACCATGTATAACTCCGCCCTCTAGCTAAGTCTGCGTTCATATCAGTGCATTCATATCAGTGCGCGGCACTATATACTACGCTAAAACATTGTTATGGGAGGTTACAAAAAAAAAAAAAAAGGCGGGCTTGATGCGGGTTTTGGGCCTGAAAATTGAGAAACCATATCGGGCCGGGCCGGGCTGGGGCGCCACCCCCTCGGGCCAGGGCCGGGCTCGGGCCCAGATAATAGGCCCGTGCAGGGCTCTACCCTGCATCACTCTCTCAGCCCCACAATGGGATTCACGCAAGCTGGAGGATGGTCCGGTCCCTCATTGGCCAATTGCTACAGGAAAAACACATGTCACATCTCTGCACTGATTACTTCAAAATAGGTAACTCAAGGTATGAAGAGCAGAGAAACAAGGCGGGGTTAAGGGGGTCGAAAGGACAGGGGCAGAGGACACAGGAACATGACATTCCAAGATCACCTCATCCATATGATAAGGGAAGCAGTCACATCAAAGGAGATGGTCAATCACTGTCTACTAACTAAACTCACTAACAAACTGCACCTTAACTTACTCAAACATCATCCCAAATACCTTCCTGCCATAAAACAAAGCCCCCTGAACCATTTATTAACCATCACAATTCACCCACTATGCTTAAACCATGTTCATGTAATTTTTGCCATTACACAAATCTGTAGCATCAGCAGCTTTTTAACATCTAAAAAAATTGCCAGAATAAAATAAAAAATTGTGTCTTGGGGGTAAGGGTCGGGGATTAAGACTTTGATACTCTTGTTCATGTATTTGTCTAGTAGGTTAAATACTACTGTAACAGCCTGCTCACTTGTCTCATCCAAACGAGCTGTAAAACATCTGCAGTATATTCAAAACACCGCCCCCTGGAAATTTCAAATTTGCAAAGCCTATTGGAGCCAGACATGTACATTTTCTTGTATTGATTCTTGTATAGCCCTAAATCACAACAGCAATCATATCGGAGGACTTAACAGAGTCAAAACAGTTGAAAACGGATCAGGAGAGACAACTATATGCCGGTTAAGACACATTGTGCCAGTTAAGACACCGAAAAAAAAGAACACTATGACTCTGTTCTGATAACACACAAAGCGCTTTACAATTGTTTATTTTGGGCATTTGTCTCACTCCACACAGAGAAGGGAGTAAGGTTGACAGTACAGGAGGTGCATGCCAGACCTATTGTACATGTTTTTAGTGCTAGGATAAACCTACACAGACACGGGGAGAAAGGCCCTGTTCCGACCAGGATTTGAACCTAGGACCCTTGCTGAGAACAAAAGTGCTATCCATTCAGACACCGTGCCACCCATAGGTATTAGTCCATAGGGAGGATGTTGATAAATGTCCATACATGTTGTAGAATATAGAGTGTCCTGGATCATCACCACAGTCCTTCTTGTTAGACACCTAACAGTCTAACAGACCCTCCTGCAACGCCAAGGAAAAACTCTAAAACCCAATGGGAAAAAAGTGAGAAACCTAGGGGAGATCCACATTGAGAGAGAGATTCGCTCCACACGGACGGACGGGT